TTTTTTTTTGTTTTTTTTTTTTTTTTTTTTTTGGTTTTTTTTTTTTGTTCAAGCCTAATCATATATTGTTCCACTATTTATTTATTATCTTAAAAATTGTTGTTTTTTTAAAAAATATTGTTGTATTATTTATATAGAGCCTATCATCAAATGAAATGTTGATGCAACTCTCCAAGCGTATGGTGATGTGGGGGTTGCATAATGCTATCGTTCTTACTATCATATCGTATAGTGTATATGTCCTTACAAATTTTCTAGTGCAATATTTAGATGTTTAATTGTTATTTTGATATTGATTGAATGAAAGTCAATAAATGTCATTAAAGAGATTAAAACCAGACGTTTGATCACATTATGAAACTGCCTTTGAGACTGCTTTTTTAAACACCAAAGAACATTTGAACATTTTGTGTGCAAGAGAGAGAGAGAGAGAGAGAGAGAGAGAGAGAGAGAGAGAGATTTTAGCCTGTAGAGTTTGGCCACACAAGGTCCCATTTTAAAGTCGAGGTTTTCATGAGGTCAAATGAAACGCCCATCTATAAGCGTAATAATGACCAAAAATCTGTGTTTCTGAAATATAGAAACAAAAACGGGAAAAATCCCCTCCTATTCACCAGTCTTTAAAAGACAGCTTCAAATTAATGTTTGTGCCTCAAACCGCTTACTTTTGTCACAATTCTTTAAGTGATAGTAAGTTTCTAAAAATTGATCAAATGGACATTTAACCAACTAGAGTTAGTGCCAATCGGATTGGGTCAAGATTTTTGCTGCCCCATTCCACTAAAAAAAACTCTGCTGTCCAAAAAATACCGCCTCTCTATATAAAGAAAAATAGTTCCTCACGCGGCCGCCTTTTTCCTATGACAATGTTTTTACGCCTTCTTCAATGGATTTTTATTTCAATGTTGGATAAAAAAACAAAGCTTTTTTGTTTAATGGTTGAGGTGGGGATGTTTATTTTTTCATACACTATTATAATAGACAATGCATTTATTATTTCTGTTTGTAATTAGTGCTCATCACAATGGTCTTAATAAATGCCTCAAAGCTAATAGATTTTTTTTAATTAGTCAAGTTATGCGGGGTTATATGTTTTTATTTTATTTTTTGTTTGTAATTAACCTATTTATTTAAAAGTGGGCTTTTAACGAAAACTACCCAATAAATTATTAAGGGAGGTCATGGGCCGAAAAAATATAATCATTAATGACAGATTTTTGCTATTATTTATTTAATTTATCCATTATTAAAATGCATGCAAGAAAGCGACTTTTTTTATTTTTGGTAAAAAAGTGAAGGAAGGCGCCTTATTTTATTATTTCAATTTTTAAAATAATTTTAAGCAGGGTTGCAGACAAAATAATATTGACAATAAAATGCCCTGCTAGGTCTAATGAAATCAATGTTATTGAATGCCTGTATTGAATGTGAATTTTATCAGCATCGATATTCTGATTTTTCAGTTAGATACTTATAATCGATATCGTTGAACTAACTGCAAGTTAACAATGGCTAAAGATGGTAGCTGCCTCTTTAGATTAGGGTAATATTTAACGGCTAGATTTTCTGTTTGTTTTTATGTCAACTGCATTAATGGATTTTAATGCAGTGGAACATACAATACTAATGATATACGTCTGTCGTCTACTTAGTTGATATAATTAATTATCTACATTTGTCATGTTTTGAGCTAAAAAGTTGGACTTCTCTCTCACTCTCCGGTGTTATAAGTTATAAATATAGCTACAATAAGGAAAGGAAAGATTGTATAGCAATCAGAGTAACCTTCCTTTGTTGTTGGTTTTTTGTTTGTGTTATTTTTTTTTTTGTTGTTGATGTATCTGGAGTTGGATGCTACTCGCTCAAATGATAAATGGCAATTGAGATTTTTTGCAGGAGGGAAGGTGAGGTTATCTAATACACTCACACTCACATGCACCATTCCAGTTATCATTGCACTGGTCTGTGGCATTTTATTTGCAACTTAAATCAATGAATATGAAAACGTCTTTGACTTTGACTGACTTACTTTTCTTTGACTTTGGGGAAAACTCAGTTTAAATTTAATTACAACTTAAACTTTTTACTTTAACTGCTCACTAAATTCACTAAGTCTTACTTTTTAGTAGTCCTAACCCTCCCCCCCCCCCTTATCAGGCTAATCATGAAAAATACTAATACTTATTATTTTGTCTATTTTATTACTTTTTACTGTTTTACATACTAGTGTGATTTGCTTTGTAATGCAACCTGGATTTTATATCAATGGGGCTATCCATAATATAGTGTGCCAAAAGAAAATAATTTTTGACTGCACCCCTATTTCATGCATTTTTTTATTTTTTTATTATTTTATTTTGTATATTTTTTTACAACCCCCCCCCCTTTTTTTTGAATTACGTTACACTGAGCTCACCCCACTCCCCACTGAAGAAAACAACAACCAACAAAATCAAATAATCTTTATACAGCTATGACTTTACTGTAAACAAAATGTGTTATGTGTTTTTGCCGCTGGCGGTTGGGTAAGCTCAGTTGTTCCCAGAATGTACGCCACATTGCCCTGGGTGCCATCTTGCCCTGTGAGGCATGACCATGATAATGGGACGAAGAGCAACAGAGCCAGATTCGACTTTTAGATATGACCTTAATAGAGAATTAAACTTTAACGGCGAATATACTTTATAAAGACAAAAGGGTTAAAAAAAATGGCTTTTTACTGGTCTGCCTGGGGGACCCGGCACATTTTTCTATATGGGTTGCTGCGGTTTTCTCTTGCAAGATATTACACAATTATCATAATTTTATTTCCACTTTAAATCCAAAGTGACATTTAGCGGTCATGAGGCAAAGAGTAACCGACTTGAGTTTCTACTGTTTGAAGATGATGGTTAGTGGTCTACATAGGTGCTATTTTTACCCAAACTTTTATTTAATTTTGTTTTGTATTCACTATTTCAAAGTGTACTTGTTAGAATTTAAAACAGGACTCATGGTGAAAACCTAAATTCGGCACCTAGAATCAAAAAATTTTAAGGATCTCTAGCATTGTCCAACAAAATATATCCAACATGCACGCCTAATATACCATAGACTATAAATTACTGTAATACCTCTACTACTGAGTATTATATGATATATGAGTCTTATCAAGCAAATTCATTTGTGAAAATACAGGGCAACATTATGATGGTAATTCCTACAAAACATTGCATGATATTTTTACAGCATTCAAGATATTAATTTTAAATATGATATTTTTGGACTGTCAGAATTTTATGATGATCATTTTAAAACTTTAAAATAAATGAACATACTTTCTGTACAGACACACATATGCAAAATCTCCAAAATAGACAACCCTTCCCCATCAGTGTGTACTTACTATATGGATGGCCCATACTTGCTAAATTTTATCTATATAAAGTCAAGAAACATTAAAATTTTTAATATTTTAACAATGACCTATACTACTAGCTGTTACATCTTCCAGATATACACTATATACACGAACAAGACTAGGGTACTACTACCATCTTAAAGACATAAAAAAAGCACGAGAAAAACTTGGCGATAATGGACACTCAGAATTAACTCATTTCGACTTTGGTAGTAAGTATGCTTAATATATAAATACTCCATGCAAGTAAAATTGCATATTATTTTATTTAAAGGATTTAACTTTGCATGTATTTAAAAAATGGAAGTTTATTTTTTTTAAATTAGCTAATGTTGTTCATGAATTTAAAAAATTGGAAACCCATGAAATCACACATTTATGTTTCAAAAAGTTATCTCTTTTTTATCTTCCAAAAATTGTTCCCCTCAGATTTAAGGATATTGCCGATTCCTATGCTCTTAGACAACTATGCATATTTGGTATCAGATATTAAAAACAAGAAATCAGTTTTGATAGATCCAGGTCATGCAGAAGCAGCACAGGTGAAACAAGTTTTTTTTAATCTATTTTTTCACTACTTGTCATGCATCATCAAATTAAAAAATATTAAAATTATTTGCATAGCAGTAGTTATGTTTGGTAGTGTTAGATTGCTGGTAGGTTGCATCCTGCTTTGTTTTTATTGTAAGTTTAAGTTTAGTCTCGTTGTTTTTTTAAAATATATTTTTTTAAATAATTTTTTAAATATTTTAATTTTTTTTTTGTTACATAAAAATTGAGTTATTTTTGTTGTTTACACTTGTAATATTATTTTTACTAAATATTAAAAATTTTCATGAAATCCTCAGTTTAAAAAAAAAAAAATCTTGTCTGACAACGCTAAATTCCTGGTTTCAAAGTTCAACTTTTTTATTATTTTGAGACGTAATTTATTGTAATATAGGACAAGAATTTTAATGTAAAATGTCACATTTTGTATCTAACAATAACATAATTTTTTTTTATCCTATCATTTTTGTTTCTGTTATCAGCTATCAAAGTTTTAAAATTTTAGAATCCCTTTGATTTCAACAATAATTAGTCTTTCTGGAAAATTTCATATTTGTTAAACCCTAGATAGAGATCTTTCTTGCCTCTGTATAAAATTATGTAAGCATTTCAAATGCAATAGCAAGATTTATGTATCAAGCATTTGACATAAACCTTTTTCTTAAAGAAATTGATTGTTAGTTTTGTCTCCATAAAGTCATCTATCTGCATCTACCATATCCAATCGACAAACTTTTATGAAATATAACAAGGATGTTAGTTGTTTCAAAACAGAATACAACTTTACAGTAAAGTTAATGCATTTTATATTTGGAAATCATTTATCACCATACAGTTGCAAACTGCTAAGATGCTTTTTGATAATTATCAAATAACTTATTTCTTTCCCCAGAAAGTACTTACCATGAGAAATATTCATCCTGATGCTATTTTAATTACTCACAAACACTGGTAAGAGATCTATATCGATTGCCATTGATAAATTCTGAGTATAATTAATTATAAATTATTATAGATAAACTTAACATTTTTAAATTTTGTGAGTGAATGATCCCATAAAACTATTAATATAAACTTTCATGATAAAAGGGTTATATATAGATATTTTTAAACAAAGATTGCAGACTTATCGGTATCTATGTACCCATATTACAAATTAGTTATTTTGGAGGATCTTTTAACAATTTGTTTTTAAAATGATTGATTTATATTGGTTTAAAATGCTAAGTCTTATCTTTGTTCCCTTTATCTACTTAGAGCTACTTGTATTTCTTTTATTTTATGGAAAGGGACCATAGTGGAGGCAATCGAGAGCTGAGACAACTATTTCCAAACATCCCAATATATGGAGGATCTTTGGACAATATACCAGACTGTACACAGTAGGGTACTGGATAAACTAAGTTTTTTTTTTTATACATATCATTTTATGTATAAAATTTGTATTTTTTATTCTTTCCAAAACTCTTATCTAGATGGTTTTAAAATAAAATGTTAAAATAATATAAACATCTGAATTGCTTTTTTTTCATCTTCACTTACTTATCTAAGTGTTTCTTTCCCATTTTTAATTTTTTGCCTACTAGACAGAGAAGTACAGTGACAGCCAAAGATAATGGATATAAACATACTAAATTTACTATATTTATGTGTTTTGTACTGCATTATAAAATTATAATATCAGACCTGTTTACTTTTACGATTTTGGCGTACAATGTATGATTTTGATGTGTAAACATTAAATATACTGTATGTTTATTTTTTACTATAAATATAAGGTATTGAACAATTTTGTGATGATATTGTACGAGTTTGAGGGTAAACAGGTCTATAATATAACAATTGCCCATTGAATATTAAAATGTTGTTACATGTCAGCTAAACACCTTTAATTTTGATAAAGTTGTTAATAAACCTCCCAAATATTTTTATTTTCAATGTTCTTATAGTTTACTCATTGATCAAGACGAGATTGAGTTTGGAGATTTAAAATTTCAAGTCCTTTTCACACCAGGCCACACTGTGGGTCATATTGTGTATCTGTTACATGGAAATCCATTCAAAGCTGAAGATAGTTTATTTTCTGGTGACTGTCTCTTTTTGGCAGGATGTGGTAATAATTATTTTTAAATTTTTATTGTTAATATTTTTCTTGTGATTTTTATAGATTTTATAATAATAATAATAAATTTTATTTGAAAAACTCGCTTCATCCCCAAAAGCTCGAAGCGCTGTACAAAGTCAACCATATTAAAAAGAGAAATAAAAACAATCTAAAATTTACCACATTTAAAAACAAACGCAACAATATAAAGCTACATACGAGCATACCCAGTCAAAGTCTTTCATCCCGTTTCAACCATAAGCAACACAAGCCAATATACATGTATAATTATGTATTTTTTTTTATTTTTTAAAGTATTCAATTAAACCAATGCTTCATATGCTCATTGCCTTTAAAGTCACAATTTGATAACTACGCTATTACTAATCTCTTTTTTATATGATGAGCATTAATATTTTATTTATGGTTAATATTATACCTTTGTTAATAAAACATTTGAATTGATTAAAATAAATGTTCCATTCTCCTTTCTTGACAGGCCGTATGTTTGAAGCTCCATCATCTGTAATGCTGAGTTCCTTGGAAAGACTCTCAAAACTTAATGATAAAACATTGTTGTGGCCTGGTATGTTAAATTATAGATTTAAGTGATTTAAAAGTAGAAGTCATAGAAGTTGTTTACTTAATTTACTAGTCAAATAAAATCTTGATCTCCTTGCTGGGAGGATTGTCAGATTATACACACGGTTGTCCATGACATTTATACACACAGTTGTCAATGTCATTCTAGTAATTCTATACACACAGTTGTCAATGCCATTCTAATAATACTATACACACAGTTGTCAATGCCATTCTAGTAATTCTATACACACAGTTCTCAATGCCATTCTAGTAATTCTATACACACAGTTGTCAATGTCATTCTAGTAATTCTATACACACAGTTGTCAATGCCATTCTAATAATTCTATACACACAGTTGTCAATGCCATTCTAGTAATTCTATACACACAGTTCTCAATGCCATTTTAGTAATTCTATACACACAGTTGTCAATGCCATTCTAATAACTCTATACACACAGTTCTCAATGCCACTTATACACACAGTTGTCAATGTCAATCAAGAAATCTTGAGATTGATATATTGTTGATACAATTGCTGATATTTTCCCCCTCTCTCTTATGTTTTGTAAAAGTTAGTAAATTACAAATAAAATTGGGTTTAAGCCTTCAGAAATAATAACATTGTACAAGCATTATTTCAGAACTAATATTATTTCTGCTAGTATTGTGCTATCTTATTATATGCATATTGTAGATACAAATACAATGACATTGCTGGCAACACCATAAAAAACAAAATGCTTTTGTATTGCTGATCTGAGGTAACAGTTGACTAAACAGCTTTAATTTTATCATACATGTTATTATAACATCAAATTCCACTAATGTGTTGATACTCAATTTTTGAAAAATATTTCCAATCTATATTTGAATTCTAGTGTAAGTTTCAGTTAAATATGAATAGTTCATAGGGAAACCTCTACCTTGGAACAGTGAATTTAGTTTGATGCATCCCTTGTTTACAATTAGTCTTTTCCATTACTGTTTACACATTTAAGAAACTAAACATTACATTTTTTAACTCTTAGGACATGAATATGCAATTGAGAATTTAAAATTTGCTCACCATCTAAATCCAGACAATGATGCCCTTCAGGTTGTTGCATTTGTACTACTTCTTATTTTATACCAATATTAAATATTTCATTTCTTAAACTTTTAATTGAATACCATGTTGTTTACCTATTTAAACCCAATTAGCTTGAATGGAATATACCTCTCTTTAAAGAAAATAATTTTTAATTGATGTGTTTTTAAATTTTAACTGCCTTATACTTGACAGTGTTTTAGGGAACTTATGTTTTACTTTCTTCTAGAAAAAGTTTGACTGGGTAAAGATCAGAAGAGAAAGCAGCCTTTGTACGGTAATTATATGTAATCTGTATTTTAAAAAAAAATTAATGTATAAATAGAAAACGTAAGAATCCATTATATTACATATGCACAAACAAAAAAATCAAATTTTCAACTCCCACTCCCTATTTCACTTTTTTTTTGACAACCCCCTCCCTATGCATATTAACAATGAGTTTTTGACCCCACCCCTTAAAAAAAAAAACATCTCCAACAAAGTAAATTTACTAACAGCCAATTATGACACCATAATAAAAGAATATGTGTAGGGTTTTCGCAGGTTTTTGGCGAAGCCAGTGGTTCCCAAAATATATGCTGTATTGCGCTCAGGCATGCCCATGAAAATGGTGCATAGAGAGCAGTCGCCCCAGGCTCCAATTTCTGGGGGTGGGGTCTTTATAGGTATAAACTTAATTAATCTTTTTACTTTTCCGCCCTGGGTGATAATTTCCGGCTTTGCCCCCGTGCGCCCCTATTCCTGACCTGGGTTGTGCGGCTTCCTAACAGAAATGCAGTGAAGTGTTATATAATTTTATTCAACTTTTAATCTGATGTGACATCTTGCATTTGTTACGCTAACAGGAACTCACTTGAGTCATTGCTGTTTGCAGTTACTAGATGATGCTTAGTGACCTACGTACATATTTTATTTATATTCACCCAACCCTTTTATTATTCTTTTAAAATGTATTCTCTATTTTAAATTGTACTTGTTAAAATTTTAGAAACCACTGCTGTAGCAAGTGGAACGTACAGTGGACAAATATTAATGTAATACTAATACTAAAACTGAGTACTAATACTATTAGAGAGATATCTAGCGAGTTCACTTGTGAAAACACAAGGCAACATTATGTCGATAAATCATACATAACATTGCTAGATATTTTAATCGCCTTTGATAAATAAATATGCTCTTGATGGACTGTCAAAATGTCAGGATGATTATTGCAGAATTTGTGAAAAAATTTACATACTTTCAAGATCCCCCTTCCCACCATAGGCATTGTATTCAAGAATTGACAACCAACCCTCACCCCTCGGTGCTTACTTACTATATGGATGCTCCCCATACCAGATTTTGATATTTTCAGTTTTAGAATCAACTTTGGAATAGTAAATTCTATGTTGCTGCAGAAATATATAATATAAGGTGTTTGTTTTTTAAATTGCAGCATGTTGACATTTTATAATTTATAAATAGAAATTATAATTTTGTTTCAGTGCCCATCTACTATCGGGGAAGAGAAAATGTATAATCCATTTTTACGCACTTCTAATGAAGACGTGCTTCGAGGTTTGGGGATGATTGACAATGGAGAATTTGTTGAACCTTCAGATGAGTCTCGAGCAAGAGCACTTCAGTTGATTAGAGAACAAAAAGATGCTTTTAACTATAAACTTTAATTAATTAATAATACGTTTTCCCAAAATTATTATCATGATGTTAAGCAAATAAGATTTTGGACAGCTAACCTTATTTCTATTATTCCTCAACATATGGTATTTTTGTTAAAATAAATATGAAAAAATGTGGTTTGTTTGCACTCAATATAAAAATCCTTTGCATGTCAGAAGAAGCCAACTAATCTCTTAGTAATTATGCCATAAGTATTAATGTAGCTGTCCAAAGTGAAAATATGCCTACATGACATTTTGATTTTATGTTCCTTTGATTAAATAAAAGAGTTTATGATGCATTTTTGTATTTTCATTTATGGTTGAATGAATTTTATTAATGAAAGCTTCACAGTAAACTTGTCAACAGGCAATAAAAAAATAATTCAAGACTTATCTTAATATAATAAATAATGTAAGTTTAATGTTTGCTTGATTCAAAGTCTTTAATTTATTAAAGTTTAATATCTTTTTTATAAAAAACATCTATGAGATCCTGTATTTATTACTCTGAAAGCAATCAACATACCAAAAGTAGACTTCTTGTTTTTACAATGCACTTCACTAAAGCTTGACATGACATAGTGCCTATCTAAAGTAATACAAAGCAAAAGGAACTAATCTTAATTTGAATTGGTCACAACATAATTATGTAACTTTTAAATGTGAAAACAGCTAGTGCGTTTTCCACTCTACAAAGTTTCTAGATATTCTATTGATTATGCCTGTCCAGAACTGATACTTTTCTAATTGAGAAAAATAAGTACCAAGCCCACTTAGGATGTGTCATTTTTAATTCAGCTGAAATTTCTCAGTATTTTTATAAAGAGTCATAGACATACCAGTATTGTATGGCCTACCATAACACTGATATTGGCAAAATATGCTGCCGAAGACAATAGGGGACTGGAACAAGCTTCCAAAAGCAACAGTTGAGGCGGCTACACTCTAGACATTTGTGTCTATTGCCTCCTGTATTCCAACCCCCAGTTCATAACACCACTGCTGAGTCGCCCTTGCAACCAGTGAAGTATCCCATTGAAACCCATGGACAGTAACATTGCAAACCCCTCTGAAACATAGGAGCCAGAATGATCAATTCATTGATCGTGGGCCCTTAAAATAAAGAAGAAGAAGATATATTTGATCAGAAGTTATCATCAGTATATTTAAACTTTAAAGATGACATCATTGCACAAAGACTGTGGCGTTGAAAAACGACACATTGTCAGTATTAGATGCAATAGATGTAAAGATTCAGAAAGTGTTACATGCAGTACAAAAGAAAAAAATGTCTCATATAAAATAAGACTAACTTGTGATATGAGTTTCATAAATATAGAAACAAATAAAAAAAATTAACAGAAAATGTTCACTTATTTTATAGCATAAATCTTCATCTACAAAAGTAGATAAGAATATACACATTTTATTTATTACTTTGCAAACATGTTAGTTTTATATAAAAATTCATTTACAATTGCAAATAGCATAAAATTTTAATACATTAAAATATTCATGTGGGCAGTCAGGATGGGATTCTAGTTCTTACTTTTCAAGGGTGAATTAAGTTGATTCTTGATTCTGATTATTTTTCAAATATAAATTATATTATAATTGTTTTTAAATACATTAAAAATATTTTGTAAGTAAAATTTTAAAAAAAAACATGACGTATTAAATGCAATTTTACTCAAAAATTTTTATTAAAAACTTCCTGTTATAACATGCGATGGATAGTGTCTCTGTCAGCTTGTGTTTCAATATCATCAATGTTATTCCACCATTTTTGTAGAAAATTGGTAACAATCAAGTTAAACCATGGTGTCAGTAATAATCCTTTGCTGTCTGCACTCTCTGTTGATGGGGAAATACATTTTAGATTTAATCATCTTTGCTAGAAATAAAACAAAATTTGAGCAATACAATTAAAATTTGTATGTAAATTAAGTGGACAAAAAGTATGATCATTGCGCTATGAGTAAAATTCTTAAATTTTATCTTAAAAGACCACTAGGTTTTTTCTGATGATGTTGCTAAAGCAATCCAAAAGCTATAATAAAAGAATTATACAGTACTTAATTTATTTTTTGTTAGTTTTATATAGAAAATTGCTTAATGTAAAAAAAAATAATTAAAGACTAGTAAGAAGAAAATAAAAAAAATGTCTCATTGTTAAAATTATCTGCTGAACATACCAACAATTTCTTTGAGTTCCTGCTGAGACACATATCTATAACTTTTCACTTCATTGGGATTGGGTATCACATCAACATCCCCCTTAATGAAAAGAATGTAATCTATTTCATGTTCACCCCATTTGTTATCCTTTGGGACATTTTCAGCTTTGTACAGGATGCGTGTCAGATAATGAAATTCATTTAGTGGGACCTAAGATGTAAGAAAAATCATGGACAAAATTAACAAGAATTCTAAAATGTTTCATTTACTGCAGTATTTTATTGTAAGAAGTTAAGGAATATAAAATAAGAATTATGCCATGACTGAGTAAGTTTAGCAGCATAGTTTTTTTTATATTGGTGATGCTTAATTATTTTATAATCATTATCGCCAGATAATATGAAAAAAGTAGGTAATGAATGATTCGATAAGGCCTGTACTAATGCTACACTTACCAAATTATGAAAGCAAAGGTTTCTATGAGTGCTATGGAGTCATATTCTACAAATAAATACCCATTTCTTTATAAGAATGAATGATGGAAGACTCTGGTAAGACCAGGATAAAAAAGATTAGAACAATTTCAACTAGTTTTATCATCATTAGTCAATTAGGTTAGAAACATACACTCATTTCTTTAATAATTTTGCTTTCTGGGGACAACATCTTTCTAGTTCCCCTTCATACAGCTGTCATGGTTAGAGTTCCTTCTTTTAATCCCCTTTTTCACTAGGAACTGGCAAAAATATGTGGTCAGTAAAGGGTTGTGTTAATTTCTTAACAAAACTCCATAATTCAGACTTGATCTATTTTAATAATAAAACACAAAATAAATCTACCTGACCTGTTCTGGTTCAATACCAAGCTCATGTGCCAGTTTCCTTTGTGCTGCCCTCTTGACGCCCATTGCATCTTCTTCTTCCAGTTCCAAAGGCACATTCAAAGGATGGCTGCAGCATGTATTTGTGAAGTGGTCTTTATAAAATAAAAGCAAAGTATTAAGATCTTATTAATAAATATAAGTTATTTTCAAAAAGAGATAGGGAGTCATTAGGTTAAGGAAGAAAGGATGTCCTGACCAATACACAACAGACTTTGTACTTTGATCCAGATAATGCTAACCTGGAAATGTTATTTTAGCCTCTGCCCTTTGTTGCAAAAGCAATTCTCCTTTTAAATTGAAAAGAAAAACACTGAATGCTCTGTGCAACATTCCTGAAATAAACAAATGAATTTGGTCAATTCATGTTAACTGGGTTACTTAATGGTACTTGTTCATAAAAAAAAAAAATTTGACCATATATTTCATTTGATGAATTTTTGATCAGTCATTATTAGCAAGCCAGATTAACTAATGGGTAATTTTATAATTACAACAAAAAAACAACAACGAAACAAGTGGAAAAAAAGCCACTGACCTTTGTTGATATTTTCTAGCAGATGACACACTTTCTTTGAAGCTGATCCAATGTTGTTATCATCTTTATCAACCAATATGCATTCCTCTTCCATTAATTTAATTTGGATTTCATCAAGGCCCTTAAAGACATCATCGGTGGACATTCTGTTTAGTAAAATTACAAATTATAAATCATATTTACTTCTCTTAAAATACTTTCCTAAGATTTTTTTTCAAAATCAGCTGCCTATAACAAAATTCTAAGTGTCAATTTTGTAGAGCAGACCTGCACAACATACGGCCCACCAGCACCCACTTTGTGGGCCGCGAAGTAACAAATATTCTTTATTCTTATTATTTTCTTAATAGTTTTCCCACTTGTCCTATTATCTCATGGCCTGCACAAGTCCTTTACTATTTTCTTTTGGCCCACGCAAAATTTTCATAAAGAATTACGGCCACCTTACATTTTTAGTTGTGCAGGCCTGTTGTAGAGGATAAAAGTTATTTTAAATGATCAAAATGTTTGATATTTCTAAAAATTATATATTATGTCTACAAGCTCTTCTTTAAAATATAACAGAAACACACTTTCAAATAAATAGCTAATTACAGGAACTTTAAATAAACATATGTTCTTAAGTCAATGTCTAATTAGTAACTATGACAAGGATTTCTGAATTATTTAGGCTATTTCCTTTATGATCAGTTTTGACAATGATTCTCCCCTTATACAAATAAATATATAATGCTGCAAAACGTTTATTTATAATTTGTTAAAATTTCATTAATATAGATTATGCTTGATTTGTCACCTTTTTAATTGGAGCAAACCTCAAGGAACAAAAGAACTTAATAAAATAAAAATACTTGAAGCCCTAAGGGAGTTTTAAAAAATAAAACTGTGCCATCTATTTTTGAGAAGGAGGTGAAGACTGCGTTAAAAAACAAAACAAAGTTCAGACTAGAAATTTCTGCCACAAAAAAAATAATTACATAATTAATGTAAGAGTTGAATGAAAAAGAAATCTATTGTCTTTATTGGGACAGCAGGTGAAAATAGAGCGAATATTCACATAATTAATACTTCTAACCTTATGTTCCTGGATGGTTGCTCTGCTGATTTGCTTAACATAAATTACTGCTACTTGTCAAGCCATTCAAATCCTTAGTTTTTGTGACCTCCCCACTTTTCTATATTACAACTTCTTCAGTGCACTCGCATGATTTCCCCAAAATACTGAATCCATGAATGTAGTTTGAAAATATTTTCAATTAGATACAAATTTTGGGCTATATGCAATTTTTGCCACTGCTTACTTACTATGTCACGTGGAGGAATACAATTAAGTTACCATGAGACTTAGTATATTCACTAAATTTTGAGAACCGCAACTAAATGATGCTAGTTATATACATTGGATGTTCCATTATCTTAATTAAATGGCCTATTGAATCTGGTTTTTAATTTTTAAATACTATTAATTACTTATTTATATTTAAAATTTTAACAAACAAAATATTTTTAGAGTATAATGCCCTCCAAAAAAAGATAATTAGATATGACATTTCATATGTTCTGATGTATTGGCATCCACTTGTCTAAAGACAAGCAAGTTAAGAGACACTTTTAAACAAAGCACCCCTGCTCAATAAACAAAGATGTCTACTTCTTTTTTCTTTAAATGCTAAGCCAAACGATTGCACAAATGCAGGCCAGATGACACATGAGTGTTTTCGCAGAACATAAATGCTTGTCTAAAAATCATTAGTGTGGATACTGACGACACTCCATGCTTGAAAGCCGTTCTGCTTTTCAAAATTTTGTTATGCAAAATCCTCAAACATTATTGACACATATTACTTTTCATCGCCAAGCCTTACTACTGAAAACCATGTCTGATGAGTTGAAAAATGTTCTCAGTGACGTGATAACAGCAGTGAATTTCAATAAAGCAAATGCAAATTTGTTTTCTGAGTTATGAAAATAAAGTGGGTCCGGATTTGAAACACTCTTTTTACATTCGCATGTGAGGTGCCTTTCCAAAAGGAGAGGTTTCAAGAGTTTTCGTAATTAATAATATGTGAAAAAATGTAGTAGTGAAGAATTTGAAATAAATAATAATACTTTATTCTTTACTAAAAGTCACATTAATTTATTTATTAATAATAATTATCATGCTAATACTGTAACAGTAAGCATAAGACTAAGACGAAGACAGTATTGAATAGGCTTGGCTTTTGTTAATCCAACCGACAATATCAGAGTAGGCATACGACTGAGAGAACTGAGACTGATGACCAGTGATGATAAGTTCTGTCCTAAGTAATCAGTAGAGTTTAGGCCTAGGTCTAGGCTACTTAGACTAGTTAGTTAAATTTAAATGTTAAAATTAGCCTTCTTTAACTTTAATTAAAAAATGGGTTTCAATGACAAATCACTAATCACCTATGCCTATATAATATATAACATAATATAATAAATGCATTATTATGTAGGCTATATTGCAGAGTTAAATAACAGTCTAATCTAGAAATAGACAACCTTTTCGATGCATTTTTCTTATTCAATTGTGTAGACAGAGTTCTAACATTTTTTACAACAAACTTTGCTGCAAAGCCTCCTCTAACAACTGCGTTGTTGTGGAAAAACAGTGACCTGAGTGACGCCGGCGCCGGACAAACAGAGTCATGAAAACCAGTTAAATTAAAGTTCATTAAAACTGATCTTGTAACGGTCGGGAAGATTCTAATGATTTTGATCATTTTCCCTTTTTACCTTGAGTTATACGTCTCTGTGAAAAGGGTAAAATAAGAGCTATAGTACTGAATAAGTTTTCAAATCAAATCAATAAGGATAAGGTGATGTTACAACCTCTGAACTGTAACCCGGAACTATTCTCTTGTGCTTTATTATTTACGTATTTATTAGCAACTTCCTGTTTATTAACATCCCATAATCGTGTTTCGATACCATTTTCTGTATTGGGTATCGAGCCACCAAGAGCAAAATGCCAGATCCCATAAAGTTTTTTTTTTTTTTTTTACCATAAATAGTCTATTCAAATTATATAAAATTAGGTTTTCTTTTTTCAGTTGTCAAGTCGTTGGTGGTAGTCCTTTTACAGCCAACATTGCTGAATTGTGCAATAGCTATTTAATTGAAATAATTTGTTTTCATTTTGTAACTGAAAATATTAGCCGCGTTTATTGACAATAAATTTAGTGGAATCCTTAATTTTTTGACTGAAAGCAATACTCTGAATTAAAAGACAAACGAAAAGGATAATTAATAATTAGGAACTTTAAGTAACACGGTGCTTAAGTGAACTTTTTCGTGTTGACGAATAGCGCGCCCACCGAATAGTTTTAATTTTTTTTTTTNGGGGGGGGGGGTACTACTTATTGTCAATGTGAAGTTAGTTATACAATGGTACAATGGGTGGGGGGGGATGTACAAAAATGGAAGTGGGATTGGAACTCATAGGAAAAAGACCTCTTAGACACAGAAAAAGTGGAGATTGTTGCGTGTAATAGTGTAGGCCTATCATCTGTCTGACCCCTGACTGCTGCGCCCCAAGCCATGGCTTTATGGGAAATCCAACCCGGGTGGAGGGGTGGAGGGGTGTTCTTGGTTGTCAGTTTCTTATAACAACGATCATTTTGTAAACATCTGAAAATCCAGTCACGTCCAACTGTCAAGTGTTTAACTAAAAGAATCAGATCAATACGCTACAGTGGTGAGAGACGCAGGTGGTGGACAGTGAAGGGGGGGGGGGGGCATTTAATACATGAAAAAGGTGGAGATATGAGCTGGTGAAAAGCAAGAGATTTTAAAGTCTTTACTTCTATTTCAATAATGATTGCTAATAAATCTCCTAACTCAGAACTAACATGAAAATTAAGAAAAAAAAATTTCAACACAAAAATAAATTTCTGAAATTTAAAAAAAAAAAATGAAGCTTAAAAAAAGTTTCTTGTTCATTTTTATAAACAAAGTATATATTTGGTGTTGTTCTAACAATGTACAACGTCGTCCAAAAATTGGCAGGTGTCATACAGTGGATGGATCAAAGCAGGAAAACATTTTCTTTATGGGCGTGAAATCAACCAGAAATACATGTCCGATAATATGGTAATGTCTTAGATGGCTCGAAACAAACCCTTGGTCAAAATAAGCATTTCAGTTGTATCTGGCTTCTCTTTCTGGGATGACACCGTTACCTGGAGATGAAGAATGCATACAAAATTTAATGGGGTACAATATATCTCTTATATTTTTTACACCATTTATCACCCCATTCCGCTTTTGTTAGTTAAATTTTATGAAAAACACGTCCTTTTTATAGTTTTTACAAGACTTACAGAATAATTTTAGGCATATTCAAGATTTCTTTACAATATCTTATTTAAATTACACTTTCCAGAAAACATATTTTTCTGTCGCCTTTCATATCTTAAATACACTATTTTAACAATCACGCCTTCGTCGAAGAGGTGGAAGATGTGTGGGAAGTCCTGGGAGTTGAGGACCTCATCTGCTACTCTGTCCAACTCGAGGAAGTAAAGGGGAGCGTTTTGTGGGTTGGGGAATCCCTCTTGTCTCCAGCCGCTGTCGAACTCTTGCTTGCTTACACCGCCGTCAGCTGATCACAAAGAGAAAAACGAATGAAACTGTGTCCCTGATAAGGAAACTTCTGGTATCCCCCCCCCCTTTTTTTTTTAGGAATATGCTTTTTGCTTTTTGCCAAATCAAAACGGACTTTATAAAAAAAAAAAGTACTAATAGTTATAATTATAGTTCATCATGCATGGTAGCCATTGGCAAAATGTTGTTGTTGTTTTTTTAAAAATATTATCAACTCGTGTTACGGTGCTTACAAAATGGAGCCAAAATCGGTCAAACTCGTTTCTTTGCAGAACGTTGTCGTTTCCGGCGTATCTCTGGAAGAGGTTGTTGAAGTTGCCCCCCCCTCCTCATTTCCAGGCTGAGCTACAACACTGGTGAGATGATAATAAAGTCATGCATAGCACTGGCACAACATATAAACAGCCATTTGACACAACAGAAGAATATACCTCGAACTATTCATAACAATAGAAAGATAAACATAAAAGATATTTTTAAACACTATCTCATTCTAGCGGTTTAACAAATTACAATTAAGTCTAATCTTAAAGTGGACATTTTTGAGGGCTAATAACATTTTCAGTTTTCTAAATTTTAAGCAAACACTTCAAAGCCCGTAGGCTCTATGTATCACTCGTTGAAAATAGTTGAAAGCTGACTCCTGATTTTTCTCAATTGTCTGCATTCAGATAAATTCTGCTTGATTGAAAACACAGTTTTCTGTTTTTCTTTACCATGATAATCAAACATATTTACACAAATCGAATCTAATGTATTTAAAAGTTTCTAATCTAAGCTTACGTACCGTTTAACCCAATTACCCCCAAAAAGTGCGCACTGACCTTTTGAATGACCTCGACTTACGTTCATCTGGAGGACACATGTAAGGAAAACTTCAGAAACTGGTTTTCTTAAATTTTGTCGCGGTGGACACTAGTGTATTGCTATATTATTCTTAACAAATTATTCGAATAGGCCCTCACACACAAAATTAATTAATTTTTAATTTGAATTCGTCAAAATGGGATTTTTTTTCCCGTTATTTAAAAGAAGTACTTTAACACTGAAAAAAAAATTACTAGAAATTAGTTTCAAAAAGTAAAAATTACCTATTATAAAAAAGAAAACCAGACAATTTATTAGCATACATTTTGGATATTTCAAGTTTATTCAAATTTAATCTTCTCGCGCCTTAAGACAAGTATGGGATTAGCCGCAAAAGTGTGCATAAAGTACGTAGATGACAGTGAGTCAATGAAGATATCGTGCACATAGTTCGTAGACGACAGTCATTGACTGTGTGGGCCTGTCTGTCTGTGTCTGTGTTTGAAAATAGTACGAAGTCCAAGGTTGCTTAGATGGAATGGAAGTCAAGAGAAGGAATCAAATGTTTTTAGAGTCGTATGAGATAATTGTCAGTAATGGGAATGGGTCTTGAAAAGATGACTCTAGTGGTTGCGATATTTTGTTTGTGTCTGCTGTAGTCAACCTGATTGGGTCTGCCTTAGACAAACTGCTTGTGTCGGCTGTAGTCAACCTGATTGTGTCTGCTGTAGACAACCTGATTGTGTCTGCTGTAGTCAACCTGATTGTGTCTGCTGTAGACAACCTGATTGTGTCTGCTGTAGACAACCTGATTGTGTCCGCAGTAGACAATCTGCTTGTGTCTGCAGTAGGCAGCCAGCGGCCATGATCATAAGGACCGAGTTTAATTATTTTTTCACCCAATCTTTTCTGATTTTTTTTTTTTTTTTTTATCTTTGCACCTAAGAAACTCGAAAAGCTGCCACTAAGACAGATGGACTGAATACCATCATGTTGACCTAACTTTTTAGGTGCTTAAATCTATCTAGAATCTAGATCAGTGGTTATCAAACTTGTTCTGCCAATGCCCCACTGTTAACATAGCGCCCCTTGTGTTGCCACCACACTCCACTCCCCAAAAATATATTCAGGACCTCAGCACAATTCTGTAAGGAAGATATTACACCACGATTACATTTAATAGTGTTATATGTAATTGACATTTTAATTCAAATATAAAAGAATAGTTTTACTTTGATTAATTCAGTAATTAAATGATTAATATTGATCTATTAATAGCTCAGCTGTTTTAATGAAGGATTAGGATGAAACACTTAGTAATAGTAAAATAATAACTTACTTGTCTACATCACCCAGTTATGCCTACTGCAAGCTTTGGATGGGCTCAATAAAGAGAGGCTGTTTCTTTCATTTCTGGTTTAAGATAGCTTTAAAACACTTCTAAATCAAGACTTTCAGCCATATGAATTATATTCCAATGCAAAACAGTCTCCTTCTTGACCAATTTGAGCAGTGCATAATGATGACATGCTATTTTCTTCCGAAGCTGATACTCTAAGTACGATGTCCTAACCTTTGGCTTCAGCTTTGAATTAGCTATTCATCACAATAAACGAATGCATCTGCTACTAGCCATGGATTTATAACCAAATTTTAACATTTCCATAAAGAAAATCATAAAATCGCTCGGCCACAATTTTATGTGGCATATTCAAATGGTAAAAACAATATGGTGACACCAGACAGAGCAGAATGTCCTCACAGGAGGTTGCCTCTAGAACAGTGTGTCATGAGACAGAGCAGTGTGTCACGAGACAGATGAGGGTGTCGCGAGACACAGCGGGAAGTCACGAGACAGAGCATAATGTCACGAGACACAGCAGGATGTCACGAGACACAGCTGGTTGTCACGAGATGGAACAGGGTGTAATGAGAAAGAACAAGGTGCCATCAGAGTAGATTGACTCGAGAGAGAGCTCTACCAGATCAGGTTGCAAACAGAAACGGTTGCCACCAGAGAGGCAGACTCGACGACGTCCACTAGGTATTCTGATAAGTAGGAGGGTGGCACCATAGGTTTACCGCACTAGTTGAATCAAACCTCACATTTCATCAGCTTAAAAGCACCCCATCACCCGACCTCTTTATCTTCTATGCCACCTGGGCTTGCACACTGACCTCTATCGCTGGTGAGCAGACTTGATTTAGATATGAGAGTAGACGACATCATCTCCCAGCAAATGTAAATTGCTTCATTGAAATCATTAAATATTTCTGGCAATAGTTAAATCGTGTCCATAGACTTTGGGGTCAGCAACGAGAAGCGCTTCAGTCTGAAAAAAATTCCATTGTCAAAAAGCTTCTAAAAGAGAATTCCGCACTCGCGAACTGTCAGTTTTTATCCAGCAGACGGTGGCGATGGATGAAACAAAACAAAAACAGTAAAGTTATGAAGTGCTTAAAAAATTGAACAAACTCGCGTTAACAATCTGTCCTTGATGGTGAAGTCTACACTTTTTTATGAGTAGTTAAACGTATGCACAGTCGCACCACTCTCCCACTGTCGCCCCACTCCCCAACTATCACAGCAATCTCCCACTGTCGCCCCACACTCCCACAGTCACAGCAATCTCCCACTGTCACATCACTCTCCCACAGTCGCCCCACTCTCCAACAGTTACAGCACTCTCCCACAGTCAACCCGCTCTCCCACAGTTACAGCACTCTCTCACAGTCGCTCCACTCTCCCACAGTCACATCACTCTCCCACAGTCACATCACTCTCCCACAGTCACAGCACTCTCCCAGAGTCGCCCACTCTCCCACAGTCACAGCACTCTCCCACAGTCAACCCACTCTCCCACAGTTACAGCACCCTCTCACAGTCGCCCCACTCTCCCACAGTCACATCACTCTCCCACAGTCACAGCACTCTCCCAGAGTCGCCCACTCTCGCACAGTCACAGCACTCTCCCACAGTCAACCCACTCTCCCACAGTTGCAGCACCCTCTCACAGTCACCCCACTCTCCCACAGTCACATCACTCTCCCACTGTCGTAATATTAACGTATAGCCAGATTAGATTAGAGTTATGATTTAATTCATTATTTCTGCGTTAACTAAATGTGTGGACACACAAATATATTCACTCCTTTTGTGCAGTATAGTGATTTCTTATAACTAAAAAACTTTTCTTGTTATTGCTTTTTTGTTGTTATTATCCTCTTATGCTGTTTGATTCATGTCTGTTCATAACTCTTTTACTGTCTGACTAATGTCTGCTCATAACTCTTTTACTGTCTGACTAATGTCTGCTCATAACTCTTTTACTGTCTGACTAATGTCTGCTCATAACTCTTTTACTGTCTGACTAATGTCTGCTAATGACTCTTTTACTGTCTGACTAATGACTGTTCATAACTCTTTTACTGTCTGACTAATGTCTGTTCATAACTCTTTTACTTTCTGACTAATGTCTGTTCATAACTCTTTTACTGTCTGACTAATGTCTGATCATGATTCTTTTACTGTCTGACTAATGTCTGCTCATGACTCTTTTACTGTCTGACTAATGTCTGCTCATGACTCTTTTACTGTCTGACTAATGTCTGTTCATAACTCTTTTACTGTCTGACTAATGTCTGCTCATAACTCTTTTACTGTCTGACTAATGTCTGCTCATAACTCTCTTACTGTCTGACTAATGTCTGCTCATGACTCTTTTACTGTCTGACTAATGTCTGCTCATAACTCTTTTACTGTCTGACTAATGTCTGCTCATAACTCTTTTACTGTCTGACTAATGTCTGCTCATGACTCTTTTACTGTCTGACTAATGTCTGCTCATGACTCTCTTACTGTCTGACTAATGACTGCTCATGACTCTCTTACTGTCTGACTAATGACTGTTCATAACTCTTTTACTGTCTGACTAATGTCTGTTCATGACTCTTTTACTGTCTGACTTACGTCTAAGACTCTGTTTTCAAGCCGTTATTGGAACGATAATATTAAATCATTTGTTTAAAATTTATATAATTCTGATATAATCAACTACCTCCCCTTAGGTTGTCCCATTGAGCCCCTAAATATGCTGAGTGATGTACCATCCCCCCCCCGGGAGCTCTGACCACTGGCTTTGAGAACCACTGATCTAGACAGTGATTCATCCAAGTTAAAGGTACGATTATTTTCCTTTTCTTGTGAATAAACGTGAATAGAATAGAGATATTAAACAATTTTATTACTCAATTTTTTTTTTGATCAATGCTCCTACATTTGAACTGAACATGTGAAAATGTTACCAAAGTTAATCAATTTTGTCATTAGCATTTAAAGAATCACACGATGATGATATTCAGCCATCGCCCTTTGTACAAAACAATTTTAACGTGTCAGAAAAAAACTATCTAAAGATTTATTATAATTTTTGATTAGGTCAAATGTTAACCCTGCCAGCATTTATTCTTTAAAAAAAAAATCAAATTCATTAGTTATGGTTCATAAAAAAAAGTTTTCGCTTTTTTAAAAGCCTTCGTTTATGCTGTAAAAAAAAAGGTGGGGGGGGGGGTGTAGCGAGTTCAATTCCGTTTAATAAATTATATTTTTATGAAACAATATTCAAATCTGAAAAAGGTTTTGTTTGATTTCTTAAGATTATTGGTTTTGTTTTATTGATTTTGTGTGTGTGTACATTTGTGAAATTAAAAACCAATATTAATTTATGAAGACGTCTATCATTTCTGAAGGTCAATATCTATAGATGCATCTCAGTGTGTACAGCATTGTGAGTTTTGAATATCTGAAACTAAACTATTCAATTTATGCAAATAAAAAGTTTTATCTTTGTTTTTGCAGGGTAATTTATCGCATAAAACATATTAGTATGCTTGTCAGTTAATGTTAGAGAAAGTATTTAATTTTAATGTGAACGATTTTTTTTTTTTAATATTATTTCCCGTCAGTTGTGGTGGGCTATTGCTAGTTTAATATATTTTTGCTTTAAAAACCTTTATAGTCTACATAATCCAGCTAAAGTAACCATGAGCTAGACAGTTTCCTTCAAAATGACGTAAATTTTCACAAAATGTATGTTTCAGCTAACTCATATAGTTTTTTTTTAGTCTACAATCTAGTAGAAATACAACTTTTAACTCCAAAAAAAATGATGGACGATTAAATGTACTCTAGACCCGCATACATAAAACCTCACTGGCGGTTGATAAGAAGTATAAATTTGTCATTTATATCGTGACTCTTTTGTCTCCTCCTTCCAGTGAGATTACCAGGGACAGAAAGGTTTCTCTTTTGATCAGAATTTAACCTGGTCTGTTTCTGCCAAGATGTTTAATTTTTCTAATCGAACTTTGAAGACATCAAACGGTGTCATTATTAGACAAAAATCGGAAAATCTTTTTAACACGACAGCATCTCGATACATCTCAGTAGCTTCTTGCCTTTGCTGTCACGCCAAGGGACAAAGTGACAAAATGACAAAGTGACAAAATGACAAAGTGACAAAATGACAAAGTGACAAAATGACAAAATGACAAAATGACAAAGTGACAAAGTGACAAAAACACACGCCCATAGTTTTCACGCAGACACCACCAATTGAATTCTAAACATTTCAGAAGTTACATTTTTCAAATAATATTTAATACAATTAGTTAATTAATTATATTTGTTAATTTCATTAAATTAATTTATTTAAAAGACTAAGTTGATCATTCATTAACGTGGAGGCTATTTGCCAAGAGATGATGATAAAAACAAAAAAGAGCCCCTTAAAACAATGTTTATTCAAAATAAGCGTTCCAATTGTATCTGGCCTCCCTCTCTGTGATGAAGCCATTTGCTGGAAACAAAAAGTGGATTTGTATATTTGTTTCAAGAAATAAGTTATTAAATGTTAGAAATAGTTATAACTAAATTATATTCATTCATAATCTTGAAGTGTTGTATGGATCCAATGATGCATAAAACATTTTAAAATCAGATATCACACTTAATAAAGTTTTTAAAAATATAAAAAAGTTATGTAATATAAAATTCACGAAAGACCAATATTTCAGCAGACTTTTCTCACCATTCTCATCAAACAGTTTGAAAATATGAGGGAAATCCAGAGAATTTAGATGCTCGTCAGCAACCCTGTCCAATTCAATGAAATAAAGGGGTGCGTTTTGTGGATTTGGGAATCCCTGATCCCTCCAGCCAATGTCGAATTCTTGTTTGCTTACACTGCCGTCAGCTAGAGGTTGAGATATGATATAAGTGCGTATGATTACCAATACATATGTAAGTACAAATGATTACAGATTTGATTAATACGTATTAATTCATGATTAGAGATATACCCGTGCGCATTATTGCAGATTTATACATACGTAAGATTAGAGATATTGCGTACGTAAGATTAGAGATATATCCGTACGTATTATTACAGATATATATATTCTATAAGACAAAAGAGACGAGTTAAAAAAATGTTTTTAAACGTAACCACGAATTTCTAGTATAGATCTTTTGGCAGAAGAGTGTTGTGATTTTCATCATAAAATAGAATGCTTTCTTCTCCTTTATGTCACTTGTTTTCTTCACAAATTCAACATAAAAAAAAATATCTGCTGACACATTTCTGTCCCCGCTCATTAGAATCTATTTATTTTCTTCATATCCCGAAAGGTGATGTGCCATTATAGGTGCGAATATTAGATATCCTAAATTCTATACTCGGAGTGGACTCGTCAACCTTAGACGGTAGCTTATCTAAAAGAAGGGGGGTCTCCGATCACAAACACCCGCCTCCTTGCGGCTACAAACCGTTTGTTAAAGGCAAAGAGAGGGAGACGCTACAGCAACAAACACATTCGTTAATGGAGTCGCCGGGGTTGGCATGACACCGACTCATTGAAAATTCCGACATCTTCTGCGATGCCTCCAAGCGCCAAGCTGTGCCATCCACTTCATTCTCCCTTGGGTTCACTAGCTGCGTGAGAGAAGAGGGATCTACTGACTGGCGACCAGCTCCTTCTCCATGAAAACATCAGATTCTCTTCCAAACCTGGTGGTTTCATATCTGCCATCGCAATCAACAACATCGTCTGCTAGAGACGCGCGGGTGCCGAAAATATTTAAGCCGAGGAGACCGTTTCGAAATGTTATCTCTATCTTGAAAATTTCCCCTTCAAAACGTGTAACTTCATTTTATAAAAACTTCATAACATTCACCAGTGGACTACTGTGTTTTGATGGTCAGCTGTGTGTAATTACTCACTGTTTTCATCAAGGTGTAGCCAAAATCTGTCAAACTCATTTCGTTGGAGCACATTGTCAGTACCAGCGTATTGACGAAACAAGTTGTCGAAGTTAATGCTTCCTGTCTGAGCTGCAGCTCTGTAATCATTGGGTAAAGAAGGCGCGAAGAAATATACAAGAGTATTCTTCTTCATCTTTTAAAATATATGGGAAAGGGGCCAGTGGTATTTTTAAAACAATCTTATTAATCACGACAACAAATGGCGAAACTACTGATTTTTGTCAAGATGTGGCTTTAACGTTACATCGTTTGTATATGCACATTCATTTTAAAACATCAGCTGTGTTGATATAAACTAGACAGAAGTGGAAATGAGTCAGATCGTCTTTTTGATTGACTTCATGTAAGTGCACTCATGTGATCAAAAACAGTTTGTTTGTTTTTCATAAGCGACTTATTCTATACACAAACAATAGTTTATTGTGCCTGTATTTTTCACGTATTTCAAACAGCGACTGTAAACAAGATGCTCTGCTTTTTTTTTTTTTAAATAATTTTAACTTACGTGCAAAATATGGACACTAGGAGAAAAACAGGAGCTGCCATGATCAACTGCTCTCTGAGGACGGCACCATAATTGTATGTGTCAATAGCTGCGTGATGATGATATGGAATACTTTTTTACCATTACGTATTCTTTCCCTCTCTTTTTATTTTAACAGCCATTTGATGTGTAGATTTAAGAAGTTCTTGTATAGTTTCGGCCATTCTAACGGTCACCGTTTAGTTTAGATTTCCTAAACGCATATTATACTTCATGACGCGTCGTGTTACAGACATGGCAGAATTTTTTTTTTTTTTTAAAAAGCTAATCTTTTGGTCTTACCCTGACCTTTGCCATGATCTAAGAATTAGGAGGATTCCTTGTTTTGAATTAACAGATCCCATCCTATTTTGTTTTTTTATTCGACATCTAAAACCTAAAAAATAAAAATTATACATTTTATTTTTTTTTTTTGACTGAAAGGACATTAAAATGTTGAGTGGACGTTAAAAGCCTAGAGTTTCAAAGCGTTGTGTTTTATCTTTCCACGTGACCCACTCTCTCTCTCTCTCTCTCTCTCTCTCTCTCTCTATATATATATATGTATATATATATATATATATATATATATATATATATATATATATATATATATAAGATCATAGTGGAAGAAAACATATCTACCACATTGACACCCATCCATAGCATATACATTGTTTTATCTTTCCACGTGTCCCACTCTCTCTCTCTCTCTCTCTCTCTCTCTCTCTCTATATATATATATGTATATATATATATATATATATATATATATATATATATATATATATATAGAGGCTCAATTGATTCTAGTTACCGGGCTTTATTGAAACATACCAATGTGGTCATTAAATATTTTCATGATGTGACAAAGATGAACTTAATTAAGCGTAAACTTTTCTTCGGAACTTCATCTTGTCAGCGATGGAATGGAATTGTAACACGAAGAAATAAACTGACATTTTAAAGGAGTTGATACGTTTTTGTTTTTTTTAAAGCAGGAATGCAAACTGTTCAAACTTTATTTTGGAAAATGGGCAAATTTAACTTTATAAGAAATGTATAATTCCAAATAGTTATGAAAGTATCATGACATACGTCATTTAGAAACAACCCCGCCGCCAATTTAAAAAAAAAATTAAAAAAAATAATAATTTCCTAAACATTAAAATAGCAATTATAATGTGTCAATATAAATTTAGGCTGTGACTTGACATGGCGCCGGGCACGCATCGCCGCCATTCGCACCCGGGTCCCATTAGACCAATGCTATTCGGATGTCATTTGTGGTAGTTTATTTTAGTTAAACTGAAGAAGTAAGTTTACAAACATAAAGTCCATTCAATTATCTTTCATTTGATACCTCATTTCGTCTTACAAACCCAACAATAATATTTTAAATAGTTTGTTTGTTTTTTTTTAATCCCAACCTTGCACTTCTGGTACCCGGGTGAGAATAGCCAATTCGATAAATTAAATTCAGCCCTAAAGTCAAATCACTGGACTGTCAGATTTCTGTATTTTTACTAACTATGTGCAACGTCACCACCAAAGACAAATCGAATACTTTTAATTAACTGTGCACATAACTGTTAGGGGAAAATAGTTTAAACCATTTTTTTGTCCCATGTCGATCTCTATTCATATTTTTTTTCTTTCTTTTTTTCTTTCTTTTTTCTTTCTTTTTTCTTCCTTTCCCTTTCTTTTTTCCTTTCCTTTTTTCTTTCTTTTTTTCTTTCTTTTCTTTCTGCTTTTTTTTTCTTTCTTTTTATCTTTCTTTTTTTTTCTTTCTTTTTTTTTTTCTTTTTTTCTTTTTTTTTTTTTTTTTTTTTTTTTTTTTTTTTTTTTTTTTTTTTTTTTTTTCTTTTTTTTTTTTTTTTTTTTTTTTTTTTTTTTTCTTTTCCTTTTTTTTTTTCTTTTCTTTTTTTTTTTTTTTTTTTTTTTTTTTTTTTTTTTTTTTTTTTTTTTTTTTTTTTTTTTTTTTTTTTTTTTTTTTTTTTTTTTTTCCTTTTTTTCCTTTTATTTTCTTTTTTTTTTTCTTTTTTTCTTTCTTATTTTTCTAGTTTTACTTCCCTTTCTTTTTTCCTTTCCTTTTTTCTTTCTTTTTTTCTTTCTTTTCTTTCTGCTTTTTTTTTCTTTCTTTTTTTCTTTCTTTTTTTTTTTTTCTTTTTTTTTTTTTTTTTTTTTTTTTTTTTTTTTTTTTTTTTTTTTTTTTTTTTTTTTTTTTTTTTTTTTTTTTTTCTTTTTTTTTTTCTTTTTTTTTTTCTTTTTTTTTCTTTCTTTTTTTTTTTTTTTTTTTTTCTTTCTTTTTTTTTTCCTTTTTTTCCTTATATTTTCTTTTTTTTTTTCTTTTTTTCTTTCTTATTTTTCTAGTTTTACGATCCCACCTCCACTATAGTTTCAAAATTGTTGAAAAATGTAACTTTATTACCAATACAAGAATAAATATGGTCGTTGTTTGAAAAATATATTAAATTGTAAATGAAGACAAAATATTTCTAAAAATTAAAAAAAAATAAAATAAAACAATCTTATCTGTAAATTGCCACCAACAGCAGCTGCCGTGTTTCTCTAAGGCAACGTCTGATAAGACAATGAATTGGTAGAACTATCTTAATAATATGTAGGTTAACAATAAACGGATTGGTACTCTGAACAGTGTTTCGTCCGTCATTGGGAGATCTAGGGAGAAATAGAGGCTTCCAATACACACAATTCAATGCCGTTTAGTTACAATGTACGGGCATTGTGACAGTTAAAATTTATTACTTACTTGAGATAATTAAATCTGACCTTCCAATACAATAATTTTTTGAAAGATCATCTCAGCCCCGATGGACTGTGCACACAGAATTTTAGGGGCTTCGAATGTTCCAGGTTTGTTTAAAACATGAACCAAACAAACTCCCTTTCTCACAACACTGGGCCTCGTGCGATATTTAAAATAAATAAATAAATAAAATAAATATTTATTTGGGCATTTTTTATATAGCGCTTACCTTAAAGCTCTAAGCGCTTTACAATTATTAAAAACATGTAAACTAAGTAAAATAAAAATGAGACACTAGGATATAGTAACTACTATACTATAGAAACAATTAAAATGGCTATAAAACGAGGACACTTTGGCACGTTTTGGCCTATACTACAGGATCAACCTGAGACAGGGCAAGGAGGGTGCATCACAGGTCATAGGCGGACCTAAACAGATGGGTTTTAAGGGACTTTTTAAAAGTGGACGAGGTTTCACCATGGCGGATATGGAAGGGGGAGCTGGTTCCAGAACGTGGGTCCATGGATCTCAAACCCTTCGACCACACACAATCCAAATCTCAGATCAACTTTTCAATTGTAACCAGCCACAACAGTGAACGATTTCACGCCATTCCCCTTGAAAAGACCTTCACCGACTGTGGACAGCCCTCGGGATTTCGCTGTCCATCCACTTCAATTTTCTACACCGAACACTTCACTCCACGTCTCAATGATCCACATATGTCTTGACGTATTATTAACCTGTGCATGTGTGCTGTAAAGGGCTCAGCTTGACATAACTTAGGGCATTTTTTTTGATAGAAACACGATCACGTGCAAATTTGATTTTTTTTTCTCAATACACTACAAATTTTCTAATTAAAATCAAAAAATTTAAGCGAAGAATTTTTAACATAATGCAATCACAATTTAAATTAAAAAAAAAAAATAACCCAGCAGCACGCAAACCCGTGTCGTCAAGCCGTCACCTATAGCAGTGGTCCCCAAATGGCGGTCCGTGGACCTTCACCGGCCCGCATGCCTAACGCTGCCGGTCCCCATAGCATAAATATTTATTGTCAAATAGAAATAAAAGTATAAAAATAAATCATGCAGCGGTCCCTGGTAAAATTTCGAAACTTGTTCACCGGTCCGCCAAACTTAAAAGTTTGGGGACCACTGATCTATTAGTACCTAATACCCGAACTGACTTAAACATAATTACATGACTACCTAACATACAGCGAAGCGCGATGATAGATGCGTAATGATTTGGTTAAAGATTAATTTCTAAAATTATCTTTCTATTATTACTTACAGGAAAGAGTTCGCCAATATGTTACTGAAGTTAAATGGCTTTCAAAAAAGAAATTACTTATTTATGCTAAAATGTGTTTGTTTTTTTATTTTTATTTATTTTTTAGAAGCCTGTACACAATTTCTTGTTGGCCGCCCACCTCAACGAAACAAATTTCTGCAGTTGACCGAAAATGCCGCTCCTCCTTATAAAGCAAAAAGAGCCGCCCCTTCCGCACCCCCTTCCTACGCCGCTCAACTTTAACATAAGTTTTGGTGGGTTTTGTTTAAATTTTAAGATGGAATATTTAAAAAGCTGCAATAACTCTATACATTGACTGTGCAATAACTCTATACATTGACTGTGCAATAACTCTATACATTGACTGTGCAATAACTCTATACATTGACTGTGCAATAACTCTATACATTGACTGTTCAATAACTCTATACATTGACTGTGCAATAACTATTTACATTGACTGTGCAATAACTCTATACATTGACTGTGCAATAACTCTAATACATTGACTGTGCAATAACTCCAATACATTGACTGTGCAATAACTCTATACATTGACTGTGCAATAACTATTTACATTGACTGTGCAATAACTCTATTCATTGACTGTGCAATAACTCTAATACATTGACTGTGCAATAACTCTAATACATTGACTGTGCAATAACTCTATACATTGACTGTGCAATAACTATTTACATTGACTGTGCAATAACTCTATACATTGACTGTGCAATAACTCTAATACATTGACTGTGCAATAACTCTATACATTGATTGTGCAATAACTATTTACATTGACTGTGCATTAACTATATTCTCTATACATTGACACAGCAATATATCTATACACCGAGTCTGCAATAACTCTATACTCTATACATTGACAGTGCAATAAATCTATACACTGAGTCTGCAATAACTCTATACTCTATACATTGACAGTGCAATAAATCTATACACTGAGTCTGCAATAACTCTATACTCTATACATTGACAGTGCAATAAATCTATACACTGAGTCTGCAATAACTCTATACTCTATACATTGACAGTGCAATAAATCTATACACTGAGTCTGCAATAACTCTATACATTGACCCTTTGACACATTTTACAGAATAAAGTCATGGTCAGATTTAACGGAAAAATTAAAGCCTTGTACATTGGGTCTGGTGAGATCCCATTGGAAATAAACTGATTTAAAACCCAGGGCTCATTGAGTACATTTGTACTGTCAGGGCTCATTGGGTACATTTGTACTGTTAATGTCCTTATCGCTCTACGTTCGTAGTCCTACTCTCGGATAACTAGTTTTAATCTTTGTGTGTGTGTGTATGTGCGCGTGCACGTGTGTGTGTGTGTGTGTGTGTGTGCTATAATTAATTCAATGCTGTTCTATTTGGTGTTTCCCCCCCACCCCCTCCTTTTTGTTCACTAAAAATACAGGCATCAGAAGCACTGCGTTTCAGTAAAGTTACAGTTTAAGGCGTTCAAGAACAGCTGTAACAATCTGAACGCGAGAACTTGGCACAGCTATATAAGACGGCTTTCCTTAATCCTTCTCCTTCAACCCATTGATTGCCGCGTCAAGCCAGCATCACCATGAACAGTATTATTGCCGTTTTAGCCGCTCTCTTCGCCTGGTAAATATTGACACCGTTTTCAGCTTTACTATATTAATCACCAATCACATGGCCTAGTTGCCGTGATCCCAGTGTCACCACTCTTAACTTAATATAAATATATAAAAATGTATTATAAACCCTTTATCGACCTGTCCATTTACACGGTACGTCTTTCTTGCAGCGCGCTAGCACAGCCAGGGGGTAACAATCCAGTTGCTCAGCTGTTCGCCACCTATGCAGGAGCAGATAACCAGTTCCAACAGGCAGAGTTCAACAGATTCTGGCTCCATTTTGATACCGACAGTAATTTTTTTTTTCTTCAGTTTTTATTTCCTATTCCATTTCCAATTCATTAAGTTTACCAATACAGTCGACGTTGTAGCATTGTTCCTGTTGTTGTTCTGTCCGCGTGTACCGGGGAGGTGTTGTGGGAGGTAACGTATTGATAAGGCGTACAGTTTGCGATACATTCGTTTTTCCTCCTTGTTTGGTTCCTTGGTCACGTGGTTTTCACTGGCTGCTTGCTGACCCTAAAGCAGCGGGAGTTTGAAATCAGTGTCTCCTTCTGTAAATTAACAGTTCATAGATGTTGCATAAGATTTCAAAAGTTTTAAAGGATTGTGCGTGCTGAGAATAAAGAAGGCGTCTTTCGGACTGTAAACGGAATGTATTAAATTTTGACCCATTTCTTTATGTCATCTCTTAATTTAAAAATCGTAAAAAAATTGTAGTTTCAATTAAGCAAAATTTCTTCCCAAGACCTGTATTTACTGCTTAGATCATAGAAAAAATAAACTCTATGTTAAACTATTAATGTGATGCATGTTGGTTGTTTCTAGATGACGGTCAAATCCACAAACTGGAGTTCGACAGTGTCTGGAGACACGAGAGCTTGCCCAACCCACAAAACGCTCCACTTTTCTTTTTGGAGCTGGATAGAGTAAAGGATGAAGTCATCAATAACCTCGACTTTCCTCACATCTTCCGCATGTTCGATGAGAACGGTGAGTCTTTTTCACACCCCAACCGCCGATCCACCTTGACGTCCCGCCATGACATCACTTTACAACCCCACTAGGACATCCCTTTACAACCCCACCATGACATCACTTTACAACGCCACCAGGAAATCACTTGACAACCCCACCAGGACATCCCTTTACAACTCCACCATGATATAACTTTACAACGCCCACCATGACATCCCTTTACAACCCCCACCATGACATCCCTTTACAACCCAACCATGACATCCCTTTCCAACCCCACCAGGACATCCCTTTACAACCCCACCATGACCCATTTAACTGACGTACGTCCATTGCAACCAACAGTTTGTGAACTTTAAATGATATTTAATGTTTGATTTAGAAAATTTGACAATGAAAAGGTGAATCCACGTTGCATGTGATCAGGTAAGCGGTTGTCAGCAGGGCTACACTGTGATACTTTTTGTGAACTGAAAAGACAGCATCAAAAACATTTCAGAGTAGATGTTTCCTGGTCTAATTCACTTTCATCGAATGGCCAATAGATGTCAACGGGAGCAGAAAGTGCGTACATTTATTATCAAATTCTACAATAATCATCCTGAAATTCAGATGACCAGAGATTATACACTTCATCATTTTCTTTGAATACACATAAGGAATGAAAACACTGGTTCAGTTATTCAAGTGTTTGCTTTGCTACCCCATGGGTAACAGACGAGCAATAGTCAAAACAGTACATCTAGCATTTTAAAAAAATAAAAATAAAAATACCACAATTGTGATACAATATGAGTAGACACGTAAAATACTTGCAATTAATTCCATGCTGGAATTGATGAGATAATGCATGCTGTTTTCAAATAAGTCTTTTTCAATATTCCAGCACGAGCGCAATTTCATATTTCCTTCATTTTCTCCCCCCAGGTGACGGCAGCATCACAGTGATGGAGCTTTTGTACAACGGCAACGCGTACTTCAATGAGTCAGTTTAAAAGGAACCGATGGGATTACCCGTTTGCAACGATACCAAGGAGGGGGGGGGGTGGGGGGAGGGGGGAGGGGGCTTCTCTTATTTTGTAATGAACACTGTTTATAAAGAAAATAAAACAATCTGCTTTCATCTCATACGACTTAATTTCTCTGTACATCATCCAGAATCACTGAGTACCATAAAGGTTTACCGGCGTCTTCGGCAACAGAAGTAGGCAAGAAGAAAGTAGGCAGTTAGGAAAATAGAAAAGTAGACAAGTAGGAAAGTAGGGAAGACTTTGTTCTCGGACACATTTTTACAATAAACTTCTTAAGACTGTAAAGTTTTTTTTTGTTTTTTTTTTTGCGTATTCCATTTAAAAATCCTTAGGACTATGCGTTTAGACTACATGCAAGATATCACCATGACTACATGCAAGATATCACCATGACTACATGCAAGATATCACCATGACTACATGCAAGATATCACCATGACTACATGCAAGATATCACCATGACTACATGCAAGATATCACCATGACTACATCTTTTTGACTCTGTGTCATATGACCAGGAGGGAATATTCTATTTTATGACTTTCGTTCATTGTATGACACTCTTCTCTGTGTTTCATTTCTCTCTATCCTGATCACACGTCTTTAAAGAACCCAAGGACGACTCACAAAAGCTGACATAGACCGTTTCATTTGATTCAAAACATTATTTTAAAAAATTAAAATGTCTCATTTTTTTAAGGGCATCCCAAAGTTCTTAATTAATATTACAATCAAGTCATTTTAGGAACAAATTTGATAGAATGTGTTGTCAGTTAGCCTTCCGTAGAATTTGCCACACAGAAACACACAGACAAAAGGGAAGTTACTAATAAACGATTTATAAAGGAACTCTGAGGTCTTTGCGGCTGGCCAAACCTCCATTAATTGAATGTAATCAAGCTCGTCACTTGGTTCACGTTCGATGGATATCACGGATATCATTGACGATCCACAAAAATCCTCCCGCATCATCGTTGAGCGTAAATGTCATTTGATGAGCTTCAGCTCTCCACTCCCAACGCTGACACGCACTTGAAAGGGTGATTCGCAGAGTGACCATAACACACGTACTACAAAAGGGAGGAGAGGCGGAGGTAAAGAGAAGGATAAAAAGAGTGGGGGAGGGGTGTGCGATTTTTATTGATGAAATTACACCACACAATTTCTACATTACTGAATAACATATAATCTCTAAGACTGAAGTGGGTTTTTTTTTTTTTTTTTTTTAAATGACATTTCGCTGCCGCCAAAAAATAGTCCGGGACTATGCACACTTTTGTATAAAAAGAAATTCCGCCCGGGATAGAGCAACTGGCACCCTTTGTTTTATCTTTTGAAGAACTATTAAGGGAAAGTTTTTTTTTTTTTTTTTTTTTAAATGACATCTCGCTGCCGCCAAAAAATAGTCCGGGACTATGCACACTTTTGTATAAAAAGAAATTCCGCCCGGGATAGAGCAACTGGCACCCTTTGTTTTATCGTTTGAAGAACTATTAAGGGAACTCTTCCCCTTAGAACAGCGGTTCTCAACCTGTGGGTTGCGACCCCTTTGGGGGTCGCACGACTCTTTCCCAGGGGTCGCCTAAGACCATCAGATAACACAAATACTCTACAGTTATGACGTGGCAACGAGAATAATTTTGTGATTGGGGGGTCGTCACAGCAATGAAAACTGTATTAAAGGGTCGTGGCATTAGGAAGGTTGAGAACCACTGCCTTAGAATAACAATGTTCTAAGTCGATTTTTTTGAAAAAAATGAGTTATTGCCCCTGTGCAACAGTTAATCAACCCATCTGTCATGGTACAAAATATGGAAGCTTTATAATGAGCCGATTTTGCAGGAAATACAAAATAACAAGGTTCTAACTCGAGGTTGGCCTTTCACGTGAGAATAACAAAGTTCTAACGTATATTTTTAGTTTTGAACCAATAAAATTACAGCTTATAAAATGAGTTCGGTATCTTCAGCCAATCATAATTCTTGTTATGTATCGTTACCTCAATGGTCACGGATTGTTTACATTCAAAATGGCGGGCGCCTCAATAGAAAGTATGGTATTTGAGGAGAGAGACTGCAATCCGTTTAGCACAATATTAAATAAGTAAAACAAAGTAAGGTTAAACCTGAAAAAAGGAACGCAACGAAACAACAAAACAACAACTTTGTTTTGTTGCGTTCCTTTTTTTTTCAGGTTTAACCTTACTTTGTTTTACTTAGAATACCCAGAACCTTCATTTTAAAGATCAAACCTTGTATTGAGAATATAAACATAAAACAACAACTACTTCGATAAAAAGTTTTTAATTGATCGATACCAAACATCAAATTTTCGAACGTGAATATCGCGGTTTGATAAAAAGAAAAGGTCACTTAGAACTTTGTCATTCTAAAGGGACGAACTATATAAACAAATATTTTGTCAACCCCAGATGTGGGGGGGGGGGGTGTCCATCTTTGCCCCTTTCCTTCGCGCGGCCTTTGCTGTTTGTTTAATACTTTGGTATTCCGTTGAGCAAGTATACTTTTAGGCTTCATTTAATTAGCGATTATTTCCATTGCTTGTATAAAAATGCAAATTTCACACACACACACATACACATACACACACACACACACACACATATATATATATATATATATATATATATGTATATATATATAATTTTGGATATAACGCAACATTTTAGTGTGCCTCTTTTGGACTGAGTTTTTAATAAAATTATATTCAAATTAGTGAGCTCAATATTATATAAACCTTTTAAACCATATGACCATTGTCGTCATTACTAACTATAAGACTTGATATAAATACAGCTGGGTAAAGGAAACATGAGTTGCACCTACAATTTTTCTGTTGCTCTCCTGTTAACTGTAGAATGATGCAAAACTAAATTCAGGTATGTGCCAAAATGCATCCATGCATTTTGAAAGTATCAAAAATTCTTCTGTGGGGAGAAGGCCCCCACCCACTCAACAGACACATAGGTCCTACATCAATTTCGCTCGGTAGACCTCTATGGGCGTTCATCAATTTCCACCCAAACCCCCATCTTCGTCTATCAAAGTAGCAATGACGTGTACCTTTTTATCTAAAATATATATTAATGAGCAATGTTCGATTTAAATCTATGCAATTTTTGTATGGGAGTAACATCACTGGTACACGAGTTGTCAATTATACAGAAATATTGTATAGCATGTTAATTTGTTATTCATTGTCTTTACTAGGTTTAATGACACGCGGCAGTATTCCATTTGGGTTGGTCACAAAGGAACTTTAGATGCAGTATATTTAAACCAGTGGTTCTCAAAGGGGGCGGTACATATTATCTATAAAATTGGTGTCTTTTTTTAAATAAAAACATTGCGCTATATGCATTCTCGTGTCGACGAAAAGCTAACCCGGGGCTAAATTACAAAGAAGTTAAGGATTTTTGTTTTAAAAGAATGAAGTATCACAAATGAAACAATAACAATATGTAATAGCTGTTTGCAATAATTAAACAGAATTTTACGTGAATTTGGGCTTGAAATGTGAAAGTACTGATTTTTTTCTTTCTTTTGAGTTATTTTAATGCATATAATTTAAAAGTTTTATTCTTCCTCCACATTTTATGGACTGAAAGCATTTAAATTTAATTTAACCATAACTAGACCATACGGTAAACAGAGCAAGGAAAAACTTGGAACAAAGGATGAGAACATGAAAAATTGAAGAATAAAACGGTTCATATAGGAAAAAGCTGTTTCGTGTCCGATAATCACTTGAAAACTGATTAATAAACTGGGAGATGTTGGTAAAAAAAGATATGAAAACAGTGCTTTGATAGCTCAAAAAATGATCTTAAAAGGCATTTGTAACTCTTTTTCTCTACACGACAACGCACGCCTGTCTATGGCACTTGAATTTTTTAGATGAAATCCTTAATTAAATGTCTTTCCAGTTAAAAACGATTTTCGACCCCTGTCTTAGTTGATTGTAATCGAAAACCTTTCTAAAAATTAGGCAATTAGCATCGACACTCGTAATGAGCCATTACAACAAGGCAAATCTTGTGAAGGTCGTGGAAACAGAAGGTCAGCTTGAACAAATGACGTGGATAACGTGAAGATGGTCGGACAAGGGGCATTCGAAACTACACTCTTCACAGATTCATTTTTATATTATTTGGTTTTCGGGCAATCGATTGTAGGGGATTGTATGGATTGTAAATGACTGAATTTGAGTGAAAGTATAGTTATAAAAACAAATGATTGTAAGAGATTTTTTTTTATTCAAATGTTACAAATAGGATTAATATGATTTAAAATAAAGCTAATTATTAATTGTAAGTGATTGTCCGGAAAGGCAGAAGTTTTTGATTAGCTCAATAAATCAAAAAAATTGTGTACGCTGTAGACACTTAAAAATAAGTTGTTGCCAAATTTCATATTTCTATTTGAAGAAAAATATTATTAGAAAATTTCACTCTAAAAATTACAATTTTATTTTTCAGTCTTGAATATCAATTTTTAGGGACGTTAGATACACATTAAAATTTAATTATTTTTTTTTTAAATTTGGCACCAGGCTTAATATGTTGGAAAGAGGATTGTTGTAAATTAAATTTACTGTTCGTCTTTCGCACGTGAAGTTGACCGTTACTTGAGTAGAAGCCTTGAATTGAGCTGTATGTTATTTAAATTTAACGCGAGGGATAGTTGCCAGCCTCACTCTCTCGTCCTTGCCTATTTGATCCAATGGCAAGACCTGGTTAAGACGACACGAAATAGACCAGGATGCAACAGGTGATCAGAAGAGCGTGTTTGTGTTTCGCTGTGCTTTTGATGCGCTCAATGTCGTACGACTTGTTGGAACTTTCAATGTGTCAGTGTCATACCACCTACGGGACTCCATATCTGGGTTTTACTTCAGAGTTTGCCTTATTTTAGGTCAGTAACCAGCCAAGGTTAACGAGTCCCATCCAACCAGGGGTGCTGGTGATGTTGTTCACCTTTTGACTGTCTGTGTGTTTTCTGGGGAGTGAACTCCAGTCAATTAGTTTGGGATTGACCCAGTTTAGACCGCTTGGCCACCCAGGTATTATACACGAGCCAGACGTTGTCTGTGAGAAAGAAAGCCTCTAAACAGAACAGCAAAATAGCTTTAATAAAAACAGTCGCTGGCGATAATTTTCGTCAAGCTCTTATCACAAGATTAGAAATCCTATATAAGTTGGTCTTATCTGTCTATTATCTTGATTATTAGTAGCCATCTTGGTAACTGGTGCCCTCAGAAATGCAAATCCTCTTCATTGTTGTTGTGGCCCTCTGTTCTGGGTAAAGTTTGTTTTCTTTTGTTTTAAATAAAGAAGTTATTTACTTTGAAAAGTATGTTGTCGCCCCGCAATATAGATAGATATACTACTAGATTAGTTTTTATTTTGATGTAAGTTTCGGAAATCAATTAATAATTGAAACTTTGTTTTAAGTTTATGCTCATACAAAAAGCGCATATTTATGTTTCTTGAGAGTCCTGTTACGACTAATTATTTGTGCAAATGGGAATTATGGACTGAGAGAACTGGGTCATGCACTCAGAAGCGTTTCTAGGATGGGACAAGACATGCTACATGAATGAGAGCAACTAAAAATATTGCAATATAAGCCAACGAGCAAAAAGTAAACCACAATAATACAGTATGGTCACAGAGCCGAAATACAACAAAGGGAAGCCAAACAAATTTCAACATTACCTGCTGCTGTGGGAATTCATCGTCTGACATTTTACACCGATTAAATAGACTGATCAAGAAAGCTATTAAAAGCACACGAGATAAATACCCTTCACCTCAAGAACGAATTGAATAAAAATGCTGTTGTAAAACATTTTTTTAAAAATTGGATGATACATGCCACCCACCTTATCACGGAAGCCTAAAATCATCTCGATCAGGGCGAATTCTTTCTCTTACAGTTAGGACCAAAGGTAAAAAAATTATTTTATCCCCCCCCCCCCCCAGTCTTAACAAATTTACCAGCGTGACCCCAAGCGATTACCAAATCTAAATGATCACTAATTTATTCATTATTGTTACTAATGGAGTCACTTTTATGGCCCATTTCTACGCCAGAGAAATATTTCAGATGTCTTGTGTTTAAATAATTATAACTGTAATATGTTGTCTTAGTTAAAAATATGTTTTTTTTATGTGCTGAATATGTACAATGTCATAAAAAAATGTTTTCATTTATGTGGATCTATAAATAGTCTTATCTTATCTTATGAATGGAAATGACTTGAAGACGGCCTTTGACCAAGGTGGAGTAAAATATAAACCTTTAAGTTGATGTATGGGGGGTGCTTAAACATTCAACAAAAATAAGTTGTTTCTTCCTGTACAGCACTGGCGTGCAACCATTTAACACTTATAACTTGCCTCTTCCTGCACAGCACTGGCGCGCAACCATTTAACGCACATAACTTGCCTCTTCCTGCACAGCACTGGCGCGCAACCATTCAACGCCAACGATGTGTTGGGTCGACTGTTTAAACTGTATGCCGGAGATGACAACCTGTTTCAGCAAAGTGAATTCAGCCGTTTCTGGCTTCACTTTGATCTGGATTGTAAGTTATCGCCTTGACGTCTAAGTATAAATAAGCTAGTGCAGTGGTTCTCAACCTTCCTAATGCCATGACTTTTAATACAGTTCCTCATGGTGTTGTGACATCAACCATAACATTATTTGCGTCCAAAAGGGTCACGACCCACAGGTTGAGAATCGCTGACCTAGTGCATCGATTTGGGTTAGAAGATTTTTCTTTAAAAAATATGTGACATAAATTTTGAGATCTCATTATTATTCTAAAATATCACGTGATACGGAAGACTCAATATTTCTAAAAGTGGTCTCGACATTTCAAAAAGGAAATAATAATAACTGCATATCATTTTTACTGTCACTGCTAACCTATTGAAATTTCTTTAAATATTATTATCACTATCTATTTTCAAGAGATATGTGTATGGTTTGGTAATTATGTCCATAACTTTAAATAGGCTGGCTCTGCTGTTTTTGTTTTTAAATTTAGTGACAAAAACGTACGAAAGACACAGCTTTTTCTAGTGAACAGTTTGCTACCTTACCCCATGGTAGTTTGTAGCTTCGGTCTCGTGTATATCTACACATCTATACCATTACAATCCTTAGTTACATATTGATGTCTTCTGGATTCTGACAGTCTTCCTGTCTATTTGGACATGGATGAATCCAGCAGCAACACAGACGTTCAAAAAGGTATTCAAACATTGATATTTGAGCCCAAAAGTGTTGTCCACCGCAGAGGAGGCCGACGTGGCTCGGTGTTCGAACTTGGGGGCAGAGCGGAACAGCACACACTGATCTAAACATTCAACACTGAGCTGAACACATCCCAATGAACGTAAAACCACACACTACACTGAAAACTGCACACTGACCTAAACACTATACACAGAACTGAAAAGAACACACATACCTGAACACTACACACTGCATTAGAAACTACACACTGACCTGACCATTAAATACCGATTTTTTTTATTTATTAGAATACTTAAAATATAGGACTCAAGTAATCGATGTTGCTAAACTAAAATTATTTTACCTTCAGTCGATGGACAGGTGAGCAAACAAGAATTTGACAGTGGCTGGAAACAAGAGGGACTCCCTGGCTCACAAAACGCACCCACTTTCTTCACTGAACTGGACAGAGTCAGGGATGAAGTGCTCAACAGTCAGGACTTTCCTCACATTTTTCGCTTGTTTGACGAAAATGGTCAGTTCTCATGGTCAGTTCCCTGACACAGGCTTCGGTCACATACATTTATTCTAGTACAAGCACCAAACTAATGTATATTTTGTTTGCATTTACAATTTTATTTAGAGCAATCTCGGTGATTCGTTAAATACGATAATAATATAGTTAGCTGTTTCGTTTCATGAGATTGTATTCCAACTTCAATTTCTTTGTCTCTAGGTGATGGCAGCATTTCAGTGCTAGAGATGCTGTACAACGGGAGCGCGTACTTTGGCGATGTTGATTAATTAATGCTCGTGACTTGATATTATCAAATCTTAAAAATAAAATTAATTCCTATCTGTTTTAAAAAAAAGAACTTTTAAGTTAATTTCCCCTCGTGCTTATTATCATCGTTAATTTTCTTTGTAGTCTCTTTGCTGTCTTATTCTCTCTTTACTAGCAAATTCAAATATCAATTGCAATAATTTCAAAACATCAAAGTTAAAAAAAAACAAACACCAAAAAGCATCCAAATATAACATGTCTTGTTGAAAGGGTTACTCGACTTAAATGATTTGCCTTACAAACATAGAAGATCGTTCTTTGAGAGGTCCACACAAAATGGGAAGAAAAACACAAAACACTTTCATTTAACTTAAACTCGTACCGTTTTTGTAAATAATTTTTTTTTTTGTGTATGTAAGTAGTTTTCATAATTAACATTTCTAATTTTGCGCAGAATGTGCGTGTGTGAGTGGGGGGTGTGGGGTGTGGGGGGGGGTGATCTCGTCAGATGTGTTGCGGCAATGGCAAAGCATCGATTATTTTAATGAATGAAATATTCTAAAATTATAATACGACTTTGAGTGCCAAAGACACATCTCCATTTTGTGATTCGTGTTTTCAAAGATACCATTCCAGGCAAGAAAATTCATTAATAAGCCAGGAATGTGTGTGAACTGGAAAATTAAAGAATCGTTTTCGTTTTAGGCTAATTATGTTTTTTTTTTATTGGCTTTACTGCAAGATAGTTTATATATATATATATATATGTATATATATATATATAATATATATATATTTTAAAGTCAAATATTTTGCGACACTACCTGTTGCCACAATTCCAGCCTTCATTGGTGGGCAAAACATGGAAGGTTTCATGTTTTCTGACCTGCTTGAACTAATGTCCCTTTCCCCACATAAAGAGTATGATGGTGCAAAGAGAGGAGTGGTGTGATGGAAGATAGGGACCTTCTTGTTTCAAATGTAAGAACTGGTGATTGAAAAAAATAATACTTTACAGATAGCTGATGTTTAATGTATATTTTAATGACACTGTTCTACTTGACTGTATTTTAAATACTTTTGCTGCGAAGCAGAATGGATGTTATACCGTGTAGCTGGCAGAGAGGCTATTCATACTTCAATGAAAAAACTTTGGACCATAGGCTCACTTTCTTTATTTTTTTTGTACAGTAGTTACTCAATTCTATAGGAGCAAAGTGATCTCCAACGCTGATTAGGGCGTCCATTTTCCAAATGCTGATTATCCAAATGCTGATTATCCAAAAGCTGAATTTCCAAATGATAATTATCCGAAATGATGGTTATTCGAGCATCCCCCTGTCTTTAAAAAAAAATTAATTAATGTACCATACGCAATACTCATAGTTTGGCGCATTGGCGTATGCACACCCGAAAACGATTCCGACCCTTGACGCATAATCCTGGTGCACTGCAGATTCTGTAAATGTATTAACCAAACTAGGATAATGCTAACTGCAAACCGTGGAAGGAAACTATTTCTGGAATACACACCTGCACAAAGACCAATGAACTCAAGCTCTATTTTAAGAGTCAGTCGTTTATTTTTTTTGCGGAAATGATATTCTCGGAAAAATGATATATGCATTGAGCACCGTGTTTTTTTTACATCATTCAAGTGACTTCATTTATGCGACTCTTCCGTGGGAGTATTCGTTGGACTGTGTTTATAATTCAACATTATTTTAAGTTATATTGTTTGAATATTTGCATTAGTCGCTCTCACGCGGTTCAAACTGTGTCGTGTTCCTTAAAGCTGAACTCGTGTCTGTCTCAACAAAATTTAACACGGTTTGAGTTTTTTAACTTTAATTTGATTAGGTCTCAAAATCAAGTCTCACTGGTATGTTTATAAACATGCTGGCAAATTATGATATCATTCAAACTTTAAGAAATCAATAATGAAAATGAAAATAGTTATAAAATCGATATTCTTTCAGGTGACTGTTTCAGCCAGCAACACTCAAATTAACCCTTACCAACCATCCCCAATTGGGTTACGATCCATGTGCAACAAACACATGCTTCAGACCTCACGTGATTCTCCCATTGGTTCCTGATTAAATCCTTCAAATTAAAGCAATTCAAACCTTAGAGAAGGTGAATTGAATTCAAATTTAAGATAAGGAAAAATATTATCCCTTTTGTTCATTATAACTTTGTGCTTATATGGGAGTTTTTGCATAAGTTTTGAGGAAGGGGATTTTTTACCCTAAAGGTTTATTTAATCTGAATAGCTATTGAAATTCGCATGTACACACTGTCAAGGGTATGAGAATCACTGTTGTTATGTGTAGATTATTGTTTTAAGGTTTGATAGGGAAACGATGTTTAGTTAAAGATTTTATGTGCAGCCGTATGGTTTGTGTGAGAGTGTTGTGACGTAATTGTGTAATGGGAAGTGACGCGTTAGTTTTCGTTGTGGTTAGAGAAGAGAGATGGCGGATGTGCTACATTGACTGCTGTGATTTGAATATTGCTAAGTGTTGTGCTGAAAAGATTTGATTATTGCTCAGAAATAAAGTATCAACCATAGTTTGGGAATTGTGGGTAAAATAAATTAAGTGCTGTGCTGAAAAGATTTGATTGTTGCTCAGAAATTAAGTATCAACCATAGTTTGGGAATTGTGGTTAAATAAATTTTTGTTTGCAACAAACCGGTTGATGTTTGTTGCATTGGTGACTGTTGCTGTCTGATGTACTGCGGAACGGAATGAAGTGAAAGACTTGACCATACAGGAGACTCACATCTCGACACACACCAAATGAAATATCGCGTGTATCTACAGTATGCATAACTGGGGCTACAAAATTATGTAATTCAAATAATAATATACAATATAATAACATATATCAATATCTATTTAGAAGCTGTGATTGAAATTAAACATTGTGTTTGGTTTATCGCATACAATTTTACATGACTCATTTTCTTATTTACTCTCAAAATCAATTCATTTGAATCATCTGGACCGTCATATTCAAATAGTGTATTTTTTGGTCCAAGATATTAACTGTATATTTTGGTGAAAGATCTTGACTGTATTTTTGGTCCAAGATCTTAATCGTATTTTTTGGTCAAAGATCTTAACTGTATTTTAACAAAACAATTATATTTGTAATTTTATTAGAATTTGCCGCTCTTTTAAAAAAATGCCACCCCAGGCAGCCGCCTAATTCCCCTTGCAACACCCTTTCCACGCTTAACCCTTCACTTGTCCTATCTAGGGCAGTAAGGTCACATTTTACTTCTTATATGTTGGTGAAAGGTCAGCAACTAAACAAGCAATTAGAACTATTTTTTTTTTGAACTAGCAGCAAACATTCTAATGAAATTTAAAAAAAATAAAATAAAAAAAAAATTCGTTATTTTTTAATATTTTTTTTATTTAAACATCCAACTTGTCTGTAAGGTAATTAGTGGCCCACTAACCAAAACAATTTGACCTCTTTGTTCTTGAACGGATTTCATACAAAATCGTGGTAATTAAATCTGCTGTTGCCACCTGCTAGTTTAGACATACTACATAAATTACACATAACAAATCTAACGGCGAAAGTTGGACGATTTCTCCATGACAAATAAAGTTTAGATTTTATAAAGCTTCTTTAGTTCATCAGTTGTGTTAGTTAGGCGCCGCTAAAGATCTGTGTACTGAAGACACAGTTCCTCATGTTGTGGCGATCCCCAAATACAAAGTTTATCTTCGTTGCTATTACATAACTGCTGAGTATATGTGTTTTCCGATGGCCTTAGGCGACCCCTGGGAAAGTTCGTTCGACCCCTAAAGGGGACGCGACCCACAGATTGAGAACCGCTGGTTTAGAACGTTACGACCAGTTAAAAAAAAAACAACAACAACAACTCACAAGCAACTTTTATGTGATGAGTTTGTCCTACGACGTCTGGGTCTAGTAAGTACTCAAATAATAAAGAGGAGTCGGAGACTGTTCAGTTATCTCGTGTACAACATCGTGACCACACGTCTTAAAATACTGTTGTTGAAATTTTTTAAAACAAAATGTATTTACCTTGTTAATTCCTTGACCCTTCTTGTACATATCAAACTTGGTCAAATGCCAAAAGATTAAAAAGCTTAAATCATTTCAACTATGTCTTATCTTCATTGGTTGAGTTGAACAATGGTGTCGTGACAAACAAAACACATGTTACGGTCATCAGCCAATTCTGAAGGGCAAAGAAATTAGTAGCGGTCAAAGAGAGTCGTGTGACCACTCAGCAGTATCTGGAGACATTGTGTCGTAAATTTCATTTTTTTTTAAAAATATTTTTATTGTAAGCTTTCATACTATTTACTTGGTTTTACAATAACATTTATAATATTTCCAAATTATTTTGCATGCGTGTGTATTTCTATAAATAGACTATATACGGATAATGTTTGAGGGGAGACAGAAGACAAGAGAGTTTGTTCTATTCACATTAATCATCATAATATTTGTTCCATGCATTTTTTACGTATTTGAAAATTTAATGTGACACTGTTTTACATTGTGACGTTGAAATTAAACTATGTAGCAGTTCTTATTAAAAAAAAATATTACGGATGTGGAAAAACTATGCATTGAATTCCTCGCGCGTCTCTACGTTATTCATTTTAAAATTTACTTGAATAATTTTCATAATACTGACTATACAATAAATGTTCAAATTATGGATACAAATATAGGTTTATTAGATCTCAACGCATTTTAAACAGGACACAAAGCCTGCCACTTAAAAGGGCCGTATTGTTAATTAAGTAAGGGGGATAATGCTCCAAGGGCCCTGAAGCCTTAATGGGTCCCCGAGGCAGGCAAGCGAAGCATCCGGAAATCATCGTCCGCTTTTCACTAGCCATGTTTGGACAGCACAATCATCTTTTATTCGACAGCTTTCTGCCCGCATTCACAATATATCCAGTATAAACTACTGCAGGAGTCTTTGCATACAAAAGTCTAAGACTACTAAGACTACAAAGTAAAGTTAATAGAGAAATACGGCGCAGACTGATTTCAGGTTGGAGCGCTAAGAAATATACAAAGGTTAGAGGACAACCTGAAGAAGGACAATACAGAAATTCAACTTTTCTGCCTTCGACAGAAAAAAACAGCTAAAGACAGAGACAAACACTCTTTGCGTGTATATATATATATATATATATATATATACGTAGTCTAGCTGAAATGGTAGCCATAAGCTACTACGTAGTTCCTTTCGACCGAAGCGATCACTTTCTGTTATTGCCCTTTTTCAGGTTTTCCTCTACCCCTTGTATATTTCTTAAACTAAAGTTAAGAGAGAAAGCGACAGCTTTTTTCCAAAGTCGTGTAAAAGTCTATGTGTATACGCATATCGCATAAAGCGTTTTGTTGCCTGTACCCAGAACATCACATAGACATTAACCAGGCTCTGTATTTGACTCTCCATCTGGCTTTTTTTAAATATTATTTTTTCAAAATTGTTTTTTTCACAATATATATACAATTGATAGGGGAATTCAATATGTTATGCAATAGAAAATTAAGTACTTGGCTCTACAAAATATTGTTTAAGGAACTCCATCACGTAGAAACATGTGAATGTTATACCTAATTGTTAAATATCCTCACTCACCAATTTTCTCCTTTACTACTAAAATATAAAATCACTGGAAATGACCCGCCAACAACTTCGCGTCGGGAGTGCGTGAGTTCCCCGTCAACTACAGTGACTTGACAAAGCTTGCATTCCATGACGCTCATGGTAAGATTTAAACTGATTGCATGTTCCCAAAATAAACACAACTAATTGTGCTAGTTTTTTTAGGTTAATGAACACACATTTGCACGCTATGGGGTGCAGTTATCGGGGAATTTAATGTCACGCCTGTTGGGCAAAGTGATACATTCGTTCATATGCACATATTAAAGAGACATTATTTGTGAAATTCATGACTCTCTCAGAATCCATTTTTCTTTCTCTTTGAAATCTAAAAATAAATTGTTTATAAGCTGAGAATTATTTTCAAATGAAGAGGTAAATTTATAACAATAATTTTAACACATAATTTAAAACAGTAGGTTGATACTATTCGTCCTTTAATCAACTAATGGTCTTTCAACATCTCATTACAACTTCAGCGGCATCTTCATTTAGTCATCAAAGTAGGCATTCCAGTTGAATCTGAACTCTCTCTCGGTGATGAATCCGTCGCCTGTAAATAAATGCACATTTGAAAGATCATCTCTATCTTTCCTTTGACTTATTCAGTCAGTGGTGTGGCCATTAACTTTTCCAAATTCCAATTTCATTTTCATTTAATAAAGATATCTTTGGCTAAATATTTGACAATGAGTAGATGATGAAGCTATATATATAAGTCAATATAAAAAATAATTGTATTAAACCATAAATTGTGTATGTTTAACTTTGACTTCCACAACACTATTTAAGTCCAGTGTATCAACGTTACATATTAGCAGATCAACTTTGAATTGATAACGTCTTCATGATATTGAAAAGACCAAATCGTTATAAATTAAACAAAACCACTAAAAAAAAAAAGGGGGACGTACCGTTCTCATCCCAGAGTCTGAAGATGTGTGGGAAGTCTTGGGAGTTGAGGACCTCATCAGCTACTCTGTCCAACTCCAGGAAGAAAAGTGGAGCGTTTTGTGGGTTGGGGAAATTCTCTTGTCTCCAGCTGCTGTCAAACTCTGATTTGCTGACTTCACCGTCACCTTAAAAGTTGTGCGACATGTAATAATCCCTTGGCAATTTGTTTTCAAACAGTATTACTGAATTTTTTTTTAAAAAAGGAATAATATAAGAAAGTTTGAATTGCAAATATCATTACCAGACTGTATCTGCCATTTGTTTTGCTTACCATCATCATCAAAGTGAAGCCAGAATCTGTTCAGCTCAGCGTTTGTGAGTTGGTTGTCTGTTCCAGCATATTGGTTGAAGATTCTGTCAAGGTTAGCGCCGCCACCCCCAGGCTGAGCGACAACACTAAGAACAAATTGTTGATTGTATAGGAAGTTAGAAAAACAGCAACACATTTTCAAGAGCACTATATTTTCAAATCATCCTTTCAAACAGCAAATTATTTTTAACTTGTCATTTTCCTTTTCTCGCAACAAAGTCAAAACTTAGAAGCGAACAATTTATTCAGAAATTATGTTTCTTGGCCAATGAGTAAGTTGACTTTTGAAAAGAAAGTTATGGAATTCCCTTTAGAATCCATTGAATTAATATAACGGTAAAGTAAACACATTTTTTAAAAAGCAATTAACATAATAATAATTATAGCTTCATGTTATATGACATAAAAATCATTTTTTTACAAATCCATTAACTGTTTACCAGGCGAAGAGGGCAAAAGCAACAACAGCGATGTTCATCATGATTATGACTGGATCAAGTCAGTAGCCGTCTGTAAAGGTAACGTCCACGTTATTTTCTCCAGTTTATATATGCTGAAATGACCAAATATGGGGCCAGGACTTGAACTTAATGTACGTAAATTTGTGGGGGTTTTTTAACCCCAATTGTATTTCTTGTAGTCTCTTACCCACGTGCATACAAATGTGGCCTAGATTCGGTGGTTAGGGTTTTTTATGCTCAACCTTTTCCTCTAGTTTTTGTGTCATCTTGAGACGTATTGCGCATGGATAATGGATGGTGACTGTGGTAAAGTGATCAGAGAAGTTTTCTTGACCTTGTCCCCAATGGAAAGAGAAATAAAATAATAAAAAACTGATTTCTAGAAATTGTATCGATTTTTTTTATCATTATTTTTATAGAAAATATTCCTTCTTACCAATGCAACCTATTATTTATAAAGATTAGACTTATTTTCATTGCTGATCGTTAAATTTAAAAAAAAATGTGGTCAGTGATTTTTTAGAATAAATAATGCATTTTATAGAAGTTTGTCAGAAATTTCCCCACCTTTTTTTTATTAATATTTTTATAGAAAATATTCCTTCTTACCAATGCAACCTATTATTTATAAAAATTAGAATTATTTTCATTGCTGATCGTTAAATTTAAAAAAAAATGTGGTCAGTGATTTTTTAGAATAAATAATGCATTTTATAGAAGTTTGTCAGAAAACCCCCCCCCCCCCACACACACACACATGAACACGCGCGCAAACTTGTTTAAATTAAAGAAATTCTATCAAGTAATCTTGCTGACACATATTTTCAAGCCTGCAAATATAATATATCATTGTGACCCGTTAATTGGACGATTGACGCTAAATTGTTTTTTGTTTTTTTTTAAAAAAGGAACTAAGTTGCTTCATAAAAAAAGACCAATATTCTGCTGAATGTCGCGCTATTTGCTAAGCGCCGAATCATTGAAATTACGAGCCTGAGCTTTCAAACAGGTTATGAAACGTCAAAGCTCTGCAAGGGCAAAGTCTTATGCTCAAACTCTGACTAACATTTGATCGTGCCTAATAGCACCGAGTCAGTGACATGTGTTTCAAGGCACTTGACCCATTTTGATAAAACAAAAATGACTTTAAACTACGCACTGCGTCACGTGAAGGCTAAAAGGGGTTTTCAGTACCATGTATTCTCTCCTGCATGTTTGAGGTTTGACTTCTGGTCCTGTTTTTTCTTATTTTACCCAGGGAAGAAGTCGGGTATTCAAAAAATTTACAAGTTGTTTTTTTTTTTAAATTATGATTATTATTTGATTGGTGTACATGCTAAAATAGCTTTTTTTTAATATTGATTTTGGTTTAATTAGTGTGTTACCTTGTTCCGAGGCGCTGAAATTAATATACCAAAACTAACCCTGGTGTTTGAGAAATGAGAGACCGGATGTACACATTATTTAACATCTTTAGTTATGCAAAGTGAGACTCTCCATACTTGCCAACATTTTTACCTTGTCTGCATGTATATATTGAATAATTATATTTACCTTGTCTGGGTGTATATATTGAATGATTACATTTACCTTGTATGGGTGTATATATTGAATGATTACATTTACCTTGTATGGGTGTATACATTGAATGATCACATTTACCTTGTCTGGGTGTATATATTGAATGATTACATTTACCTTGACTGGGTGTGTAATTTAAATGATTACATTTACCTTGACTGGGTGTATATATTGAATGATTACATTTACCTTGACTGGGTGTATATATTGAATGATTACATTTACCTTGTCTGGGTGTAAATATTGAATGATGACATTTGCCTTGACTGGGTGTGTAATTTGAATGATTACATTTACCTTAATTGGTGTATATATTGAAAAATTACATTTACCTTGACTGGGTGTGTAATTTGAATGATTACATTTACCTTGTCTAGGTGTATATATTGAATAATTACATTTACCTTGTCTGGGTGTATATATATTGAATGATTACATTTACCTTGTATGGGTGTATATATTGAATGAAAACATTTACCTTGTCTGGGTGTATATATTGAATGATGACATTTGCCTTGACTGGGTGTGTAATTTGAATGATTACATTTACCTTAATTGGTGTATATATTGAAAAATTACATTTACCTTGACTGGGTGTGTAATTTGAATGATTACATTTACCTTGTCTAGGTGTATATATTGAATAATTACATTTACCTTGTCTGGGTGTATATATATTGAATGATTACATTTACCTTGTATGGGTGTATATATTGAATGAAAACATTTACCTTGTCTGGGTGTATATATTGAATGATTACATTTACCTTGTCTGGGTGTATATATTGAATGATTACATTTACCTTGTCTGGGTGTATATATTGAATGATCACATTTACCTTGTCTGGGTGTATATATTGAATGATTACATTTACCTTGACTGGGTGTGTAATTTAAATGATTACATTTACCTTGACTGGGTGTATATATTGAATGATTACATTTACCTTGACTGGGTGTATATATTGAATGATTACATTTACCTTGCCTGGGTTGATATATTGAATGATTACATTTACCTTGACTGGGTGTGTAATTTGAATGATTACATTTACCTTGTCTAGGTGTATACATTGAATAATTACATTTACCTTAATTGGTGTATATATTGAATGATTACATGTACCTTGTAAGGGTGTATATATTGAATGATTACATTTGCCTTGTCTGAGTGTATATATTGAATGATTACATTTACCCTGACTGGGTGTGTAATTTGAATGATTACATTTACCTTGACTGGGTGTATGTATTGAATGATTACATTTACCTTGGCTGGGTGTATATATTGAATGGTTACATTTACCTTGACTGGGTGTATATATTGAATGATTACATTTATCTTGATTGGGTGTAAATATTGAATGATAACATTTACCTTGGCTGGGTGTATATATTGAATGATTACATTTACCTTGACTGGGTGTATATATTGAATGATTACATTTACCTTGACTGGGTGTAAATATTGAATGATGACATTTGCCTTGACTGGGTGTGTAATTTGAATGATTACATTTACCTTAATTGGTGTATATATTGAAAAATTACATTTACCTTGACTGGGTGTGTAATTTGAATGATTACATTTACCTTGTCTAGGTGTATATATTGAATAATTACATTTACCTTGTCTGGGTGTATATATATTGAATGATTACATTTACCTTGTATGGGTGTATATATTGAATGAAAACATTTACCTTGTCTGGGTGTATATATTGAATGATGACATTTGCCTTGACTGGGTGTGTAATTTGAATGATTACATTTACCTTAATTGGTGTATATATTGAAAAATTACATTTACCTTGACTGGGTGTGTAATTTGAATGATTACATTTACCTTTTCTAGGTGTATATATTGAATGATTACATTTACCTTGACTGGGTGTATATATTGAATGATTACATTTACCTTGTATGGGTGTATATATTGAATGATCACATTTACCTTGTCTGGGTGTATATATTGAATGATTACATTTACCTTGACTGGGTGTGTAATTTAAATGATTACATTTACCTTGACTGGGTGTATATATTGAATGATTACATTTACCTTGACTGGGTGTATATATTGAATGATTACATTTACCTTGACTGGGTGTAAATATTGAATGATGACATTTGCCTTGACTGGGTGTGTAATTTGAATGATTACATTTACCTTAATTGGTGTATATATTGAAAAATTACATTTACCTTGACTGGGTGTGTAATTTGAATGATTACATTTACCTTTTCTAGGTGTATATATTGAATGATTACATTTACCTTGACGGGTGTATATATTGAATTATTATATTTACCTTGTCTGGGTGCATATATTGAATGATTACATTTACCTTGTCAGGGTGTATATATTGGTCGATTACATTTACCCTGTCTGGGTGTATGTTTTTTATTGATGAAATCAGAGGTAAAAAAAACTAAGACCCGCAGGCCTGTTGCGACCCACGGCGACGTTCTATCTGGCCCGTGTAGTCAAAAGTGACCCGGAAGTCACCAAAGATTGTCAATGAGTTGGATAAATAAATTGTTCAGTAAAATTTTGATTGGACCAACTTCAATTACGTCACAACAGGAAGTTGTTAAACGTGTGCTGTAAATGAAAAAAGTTCGGATGGTAAAATGGGAGTCGCTTAGTCACTTCCTTGTTTGGTCACGTGATGTGAGTAAGCCATCACTAGGCTGCAACACACAACAAAAGATACTTCATCAGTGCTTCCCCAATGTCATGTTACTTAAAAATTTTACCTTTCGAAATATTCTGGAATACATGCGTTTTTTAAATGAAATACATTATTGTGACAATAAATATACGTCAGTTATGATTAAAGGAAGAAAGTTATTTCAAGAAAAATTTGTGAGCGATATTCGATGGGAACTATCAATACTATTATCGGCAGGATGTTGTTGAGCTCCGTGCGTGCTCATGACGTCATTTGCGTTTTTATTCAATATTGATGCAGGAGTCATTCCCCTTTGTTTATTTTATTGTTAATTTTCATTGGACGAAATGTAGTGTAGTTGTAGTGTGTATCGGTCTACTGTTGTTAAGCACTAGTGTGTTGTATACAGCATACCGGAAATCTTACTCGTTTTTACTCACATCACGTGACAAAATAATTGACTAAGCGACTCCCATTCACAAGGCTGTTTAAAATATTGGTTGCTCCAACCTTAATCTTTCTTAATTGGATCATTCTTAAAGAGACGCTGTGTGGAA